TGGCAGCTGCACCCACAGGCACCTGTGCCGTTACCAGCAAAGGCACTGGGCTTAGTCTACCCTCCTTCATTTGCAAATACTCACTGGTGGTTGGCGAGGACAGTGGCGGTCTGGGGTAAAATCATGCCTTTTGCGGAGGAAGCTTGGCGGTGGAGGGGAACCCTGGCCAGCCCTCAGGAGCTAATTGTCTCTAACATGCACCTGTGTTTGTCACCATCTGAGTTCTGTTTACAGCACTTCCCAGCATTCTGCCCCTTTTCTGCCTTCTCAAGTAACATCAGGGGAGGGTGGAGAGGCCAGGAAGTGGGTTAGGGGGTACCCCAGGTCCCCCGACATTCTTTTTGTGTCTTGACCAAAGTTCATGGAGTACCTTGATGGCCGTGCTTTCAAGCAGGCTTGAGCACAAGCCGGGGGCTTTGAACAGTCCGGAAACACTGAGAGAAACCGGCCTCAGGTCTGAAGCAAAGTCCCTTTGATCTGTCCGCCTCGCCCCAGCTCCTGGCTGCGCACACGCACAGGGTGGAGGGCACGCTCTGCTACTGCTGTCTCCAGGGCAAGCGGCCACACGCAGTAACCAGCGCTTTACACTGGCCGCCCTCGCGCTTGGGGTGTCCTTGCTTGGGTGGGGGTCCTGGGCGGGCTCTCAGGAAGGACTCTGCGACTTTCTGGGCTAGCTACTCTAGCTGTGGGTGGGACAGGACAAGCCTGAGGGAGCCTGGCTAGAACCCGGGGTTTGGGTTCACTGGACTCTGGTGAGCCACCCGGAGTTCATCTTTACAGATTTTTAAGCAAATAAAATACACAAGATTATAAGAGCAACCCACTACACCACTACAATGGGACAGTTATACACTTATTGTTAAACAAAATCGTGAATCTTTTTGCTGCTGCCACAAATGGCTGTGTAGTAACCGCACTGAAGGCTTACCTTTGGGGATGCTGTTGGGGTGACTGGGGGTCGGCCAGGTTGTGTCTTCCTGCAGATCCAGGGCAGATGGCAGACCCTGCTGCCTTTCCCAGCGCCAGGAGAGACTGCCCGAGCGCTTTCCGCCCGCCACGCCGGAACCGCAGCTGCTTTCAGTCCCTCTCCCCGCCCTCCTCCTGCTGGCTAATTTACTTCTCTTACAGCTGACTCAGCTGTCGCTGCTTTGGAACAACCTGTTTCAATACAAGAGCCCACCTGGGTAGCCCAGGCTGTTTGCCCTGTCTCAAGAACCTTAATTTAATGACAACAATCTCAGGAAAGATTTACAAAGCAAAATTTAAAAAGGAGACAGTGTTGGGGGAGCGTGGGGAGTGGAGCAGCCAGGGTGTGAACTGGCACCCATATGGGATCTCAGCACGTGCAAAGCGAGGATTTAGCCACTAGGCCATTGCACCGGGCCCCGATCTAGCTTTCTATTAATGGGCTTGTTAGGAAGCAGCATTTAGACACACCTGTTACTCGTGGGAGAGACTCAGATGAAGTTCTTGGCTTCAGCCTCGTGCAGCCCTAGCCTCGTGCTAGAAAGCACAATGAACTTGGTTGGAGGTGCATCTTATTTTTTTTTTTAAAGATTTATTTTTATTATTTTTTAATTGGAAAGGCGGATATACAGAGAGGAGAGACAGAGAAGAAGATCCTCCGTCCGATGGTTCACTCCCCAAGTGAGCGCAATGGCCGATGCTATGCCGATCTGAAGCCAGGAGCCTCTTCCGGGTCTCCCACACGGGTGCAGGGTCCCAAAGCCTTGGGCCGTCCTCGACTGCTTTCCCAGGCCACAGGCAGGGAGCTGGATGGGAAGCAGGGCTGCCGGGATAGAACCGGCGCCCATATGGGATCCTGGGTGTGCAAGGTAAGGACCACTTGCGCCATTGCGCCGGGCCCATTTATTTATTTTTTTAAAGATTTATTTATTTTTATTCCAAAGTCAGATATACAGAGAGGAAGACTCCCCCCAACCCCCCATCTGAGGATTCACTCCCCAAGTGACCACAATGGCTGGCACTGCACCGATCAGAAGCCAGGAGCCAGGAACTTCCGTCAAGTCTCCCACACAGGTGCAGGATCCCAAGGATCCTTGACTGCTTTCCCAGGCCACAACCAGGGAACCAGATGGGAAGTGGAGCTGCCGGGATCAGAACTGGCGCCCTCATGGGATCCTGGTGCGTGCAAGGCGAGGACCCCAGCTGCTAGGCTATCACACCGGGTCCAGAAGTGCATCTTTTTAAATGTTGCTTATTGATGAGTCAGACTCTTAATGCTTTTGTATAGAAATATTAATTGTATAGTTTAATCATCACTTATTAAAAAAAGAACAATGCAGCAAGGTGGAGCAATCCACCATGGGGTGAAGGTTCGGGGAGGGGTGGGGGGAATCCCAGTGCCTTTAACATTGTGTCCCATAATCCAATAAAATTAATTAAAAAAAAAATAAAGCAAAGTTGGAAAACCTTGCAAACCACTCAGAAATACCTTTTCTGGAAGGAAAAAATAACGTCCATATGAAGTGCAGTAAGCTTGCAAAGGTAAATAGTGATTCATACTTCTGTGGACAGGATGCGAAGAATCACGATGGATGTGCCTGGCCGGCCATTTTTATTTCAGTGTTAGCACAGTGTCTTGCCAGGACTGAAGTCAATGTATTGTTTTAGTTCAACTGGATGTAATGTTAAATAAGCTCGAAATGAAAATTAAAAAAAAAAAAAAAGCCAGCAAACAATTTGGTCAGCAGAGGCCTGTGGTGGTTGTCCTTCGTCACTGGACACGACCCTGGCAGACTGACTCTTCCTTGCTTTCCCTGCCCAGCAAGCCAGTGCTGTTTCAACTACACTGGAACTTAGAGAACAGATAACTCTAGATCCTTCCAACGATGCCGGCATATTACTGTGAAAACCTAATAAAATAGCATTTTTGAAAAAGATCTGTTCTCTAAATATTTATTTTAGGAGCTGGTGCCATGGCTTAACAGGCTAATCCTCCACTTTCAAGCGCTGACCTCCTATATGGACACCAGTTCATGTCCCAGCTGCTTCACTTCCCATCTAGCTCCCTGCTTATTACTTGGGAAAGCAGCCGAAGATGGCCCAAAGCCTTAGAACCCTGCATCCACATGGGAGACACTGGAGAGACGTTACAGAGAGAGGGAGGAGAGACAAAGATCTTCCATCTGCTGGTTCATTCCCCACACGGCTGCAATGACTGAGCTGATCTCAAGTCAGAAGCCAGAAGTTTCTTCCAGGTCTCACACATGGAGTTAACCCAGCGCTTGTGATGCCATGGTCTCACACAGACATGAGGTGCAGCCCCTGCCAACCTCATGTGAGAAAGCAGCCCAGGACAGCTCCAGGGTCCGGGCCCCTCCCGCCCAGCGCAGCAGACCGGGAAGAGAACCCTGGCTTGGGCCTCGTCCGGTGCTGGCTGCTGTGGCCATCTGGGGAGTAAACCGACAGGTGAAAGACCTTTTCACCTCACTTTCTCTCCTCTGTCTCTCCTTAAAATAAATATATTTTTAAAAATAGATTTATTTATTTTTATTGCATATACAGAGAGGAGGAGAGACAGAGAGGAAAATCTTCCATCCGATGATTCACTCCCCAAGTGGCCACGAAGGGCAGAGCTGAGCCTATCAGAAGTCAGGAGTCAGGAGCCTCCTGTGGGTCTCATGCGGGTGCAGGGTGCCAAGGCTTTGGGCTGTCCTCAACTGCCTTCCCAGGCCACAAGCAGGGAGCTGAATGGGAGGGAAATGGGGCAGTTGGGATTAGATCTGTCACTTATATGGGATCCTGGTGCATGCAAGACAAGGGCTTGAGCTACTAGGCTACCGCACCAGGCCCCAAATAAATAAATCTTAAAAAAAAAAAAAAAGCAAAATTACTGCCAGGTCAACCCATAGGCTCATGAGGTGAAAAATAATTGTAAACAAATAACCAAATGGGAGGACCATCTATTTCAGAACAGCAGAGAGTGGAAGCCATGGGTGACCACAAGGTGGGTGAAATAACTTGGTACTTTCTCTGCCCTGCTGCAGCTCCTGGCTGCCCACTGGGCTGCCTCCATGTGCTCCCGGAACCCTCTGCAGTCTGCTAAGGAGGGAAGTGCACAGCTTTGGACTCAGGCAGAAGTGGGTCCTATCCAGAACTCCTACTTTCTGGCAGGTCACCCGTGGCTCATCTCACTCGTGGCCAGGAAATGTCCCCCACATAGGGTCTTGGTTTAAACACACTGACAATAATTCTTTCCATTTGGGAAGTAATCCAGCCTTAGTTTTTGTGCCCAGCTGCGGGGACTGTGTCCTGACAAAGGAGTTCCCCAAGCTCCTCTATCAGGTCCTCCCAGTGGCAGATCTTGCACAAACAAGTGGGTCCTTGGCCCTGCCGTAGTCTACTCCCTGTCCTGGCAGGAACAGTGGTCTTGCACAATTGGTCCACACCCATTCTGGTTCTTACTGTTGGGTGCTACAGCCAAGCCACCCCTGGCCCATGCCCAGACACAGCTCTCGCATTGTTCAGTGGGTGCTGACACCTAGCCCAGCCCACTCCATATCCACCCTAGCTCTCATGAGCACCAGTAGGTGCTAGAGTCTAGCCCAGTCTGGCATATCCTAGACCCAGTCCACCATACCCCAGTCATGTTCAGCCCAGATTGCCACACCCATTTTGGCTCCCACTCACCAGCAGGAACCACAACCAAGCCGGGGTGTCCCCTTCACTCCCCAACTGGGTCTGTTGTTCCCAGCCACAGATCTTGTGCATGGCAGTGGTTGTTCTGACTCAGGTTGACACAGCCCATCCTTCCTTCCTTTTTTTTTACACAAAAATTTATTTGAAAGGCAGAGAGAAATCTTTCACTTGTTGGTTCACTCCCTAAATGGCCACAACAAGATGACTGGAGCCAGGAGCTTCATCCAAGTCTCCTAGTGAATGGCAGGGGTCCAGGCACTCATTCCCAGTTCTGCTGCCTCCCAGCATATTAGCAGGAAGCTGGATTGGAAGTGCAATAACCAGGACTTGAACCTGAGCTCCTGCATGGAGGCTAGCATTGCAAATGGCAGCTGAACTCACTGTATCACAGTGCTGGCTCTGATAAAGGATTCTTTGGTTGGAGCTTGGGTTTGTGGTCTGACTGTACAGAGGAAGGTTGGTTTGCATGGGATAATTGGTTCACAAGTTTGCATGCAATGGTTGGAATACAGGCTTGGCACAGAGACAAGGCCCAGGCACAGCACCATTGCTTGGGGAGGTCTAGCCCAGAAAATGTGCAGAGCCTCTTCTGAGCACCTCTGTGTAGGCATCTTGGGCTGCTAAGGCTGTGGGTGCAGGAGCTACCTTCAGCTTGCCTGCATTCCCCAGGTGTCTGGTCTTGCTGCCACTTTTGCTTACCAAGCTGGGGTGCCCTTAACTTCCTCTGCTTCCTCCCAGCCTTGGTCATGCATGCCCTGGGGACCCTGCGGGCCCCACCAGCTGGGCTGGCCAACACTCAGGGGACTGGAGGAAACCACACCTTGACCCTCCAGGTGCCACTTCCACACTGCACAGCTCTTGCACCAAGCAGTGCACGATGTTCTCCCTGGCTTCCTCCTGGACAGAAACAGGGTGGTGAGGCAGTCAACGGGAGAATGGGCAATGGCCATTTTAATGAGAGGGAAAGTGAGACAGAATGGTTACAAAACCACCCAAAGTCAGGGACCAAAGCAGCCTCAGATGCTGCCAACCGAAACCAGCAGCTGCGCTGCGGCCACAGAGGGGCTCCTACTCCTTGGATGTGACCTTGCATCATGAGTCCAGCACCCTGGGTGACTCCTGCAGCACCCCTGAGCACACAGCAGGGACAGCCAACAGCTAGGGCCCAGGGAGGCGGCTCCAGGTTTCACCTGGATCCCCCTTGGGCTCAGGGCAGATGGCATTGGAGTCACTGGGCGTGCCTGGTACAGACCCAGGGTCTGGGAGAGCTGCAGTTCACAGCCACAAGCCTGCCCTCCTCCAGGCTCCCGCAGCTGACAGCCGGGTCATCCTCCTCTGGGAGCCTGGGGAGAGGGAGAGGAAAGGGGTGAGGTCCTTGGCATGCCGGTCTGCCCACTTAGGCTCTGCAAGACTCTGTGCCCATGCTGCAGTGCCCCAGGCCTAGCAGAAGTTCCCCATCCAACCACCGGTCAGTCAGGGAGTGCTGGGCAGAGCACCCTACTGCTCTGAGCTGCAGAACCCCTATGCTGCCTGGTGGGTATGCCCTCCAGGCACACAACGATGGAGTCTGAACCCAAGCTGGGCCTCAGGACACCCATGTGGCTTTGGCTTCCTGAGTGGTATCCTGGACGGGGGTAGGGGAAAGGGCACGGGGTGGGGTAGAACAGGAAGGTTGCGTTTGGGGCCTCAAGTGGTTGGGGAAGGGCAGTTGAAAGAGAGGAAGAGGTAGAGGAAGTGACTCACAGCTGGGGCGGTAGGGGCACCCCGTCAGTCCAGTACCAGCCCTGGGGGCCTCGCCGGGCCCCCAGCCACGAGTGCTTGGTTATGGGGTATCTGCTCAGGAAGTCCTGGGGGAGAAAAGCAGGCGTCACCCTCCCCTTGAGCACAGCCACAGTCACTTGGGGCATCTGTCACCTGTGAGGCTTCTGGAGGATCCCAGCTTCACATCTGGAAGAGAGAATCAGCTCAACCCAATGGTGCCGAAACACCAATACCGGTGCCAGCTGCATGGTGCCTGCTGGGGGGCGGAAAGGAAGGTAGCTATTGTGCCGGGCCCTGTTCATCTCTCTGGGACGTGATGCAGTGGTACCCACAGCAGTTGCGATATCCCCACTACTGCTCCTCAAGTGGGTGATTCCACTTGGAGGAATAAATCCAAGACAATGAAGTCATTCCAAGAACGGAGGGCAATGCCTAAAGAAGCTGAAATTCTGTAAATTCCCCGCTAGGCAAGCTACGGGATGTCAACGTGATGGAAAATCACGCTATTAAATATGACAAGTGAAAAACACAGCTATACAGGAAAATTCAAATACATAAATATGTCAAGTGAAAACCCAGAGGAGGTCACACAAACAAGCACACATTGCTGACAACATCAGTGGGGAGAGGTTCATGTCGATGGAGGTCGTAAGCAGGCTGGCATAAATGAATTGAGTTCAGTTTTCCATTCCTATGAAATTGCACAATAAAAGATAAAGCCATAATTCATAAATCCATGTCAGCACTGAGGAGATAGCCGCCCCCTTGGCTATACCCCACCTATCCCTAAGGGACCCCAGTTGACCCATTCAAGGTGAGCTCAGGGATCCTCCTTCCTGGGGCTCCTGGGCTGTGACAGCGTCGAGTTTGCTGTGCTGCATTTTAACAGGTGGCTTTACTAGTCAAGCTTCCTTACTTCCTGTGCAGTGGACTTGGTGAAGCCCAGCATGTTGTGTTCACCATTGCACGTAAGAGCCTGCACAGCCTTGTGCCTGTGCTCACTGCCAGCAATCAGCTAAGGCCTTTGTGAATCCCAAGGGCTGACACATTCATGAGCTTTTTGCTACTCTAAGATACAACTCTGGGGGTCTGTGGAGTGTCATAAAAAGACTCATCCTCTGCCTGTGGTGCCAGCATCCCATATGGGTTTTGGTTCTAGTCTTGATTGCTCTACTTCCAGTCCAGCTCCCTGCTTATGTGCAGAAAAAACTGTGGAGAATGGCTCAAGTCTTTGGGCCCCTGCACCCACATAGGAGAAACAGATGAGGTTCCTGGCTCCGCATCAGCCCAGCTCCATTTGGGAAGTAATCCAGCAGACGGAAGATCTCCGTTTCTCTCTGTAACTTACAAGTAAAGTAAATAAATCTTAAAAAGGTCATAGCTCAGACCTGGCATGGTAGCCTAGTGGCTAAAGTACTTGCCTTGCACATGCTGGGGTCCCATATGGGTGTTGGTTCTGATAATGGCAACCCCGCTTCCCATCCAGCTCCCTGCTTGTGGCCTGGGAAGGCAGTTGAGGACAGGCCAGAGACTTGGGACCCTGTACCCATGTGGGAGACCCAGAAGAGGCTCCTGGCTCCTAGCTTCAGATTGGCTCAGCTCTGGCTATTGCAGCTGCTTGGAGAGTGAATCAACCAATGGAAGATCTTCTCTGTCTCTCTTCTCTATATATCTGACTTTCCAATAAAAATAAATAAAACCTAATCCAGCAGCCACTCATCCATTCACTGTTACTCTAAGATTTGGGGAGTGTAAGCAGACTGCACAGGAGAAAGGAACAGATGCTCACACAGACAGGCACACACAGCCCTCAGGGACCACCACTCATGATGCAGGTTACAGCCCTGGTTACAGTCCTGGCTGCTCTACTTCCGATTTGGATCCCTGCCACTTGTCATTGGGGACCAGAAAGGAGTTCTTGGCTTCTGGCTTTGGCCTGGTCCAGACCTGGCTGTTGCACCTGTTCGGAGAATGAACCAGCACATATAAGATTGCTGTCTGTCCCTCTCTCTGCTGCGCTGTCTTTCAAACAAACAAGCAAGCAAATAAATAAAGCCTTTAGGTAAATGACTAAGTGTTGCCTTTGCAACCTCCTGTCCCACACGCACGAGAGGCCAGGCTTTGTTCCTAACACGTGACCTCGTTGGAGGTTTACAGTAACTTCAGAAGGGGCTGTTCTGGCCTTGGCCGTCTGGTTTCCCATTCCTTGCTAGCTAGGCCTTCTGCAGACAGGAGCCAAAGGTCTTCACCAGCCACTCTTCTGTTCTTACAGTTCTACCTCCTGTTCTGTTACCAAAACATATGGTATGAAAAAGGCAGTGTCTTAGGTGTTTTTGTTTTTTTTTAAAGATTCATTTTATTTATTTTTTATTTGAAAGGCAGAATTTATAGAAAGATCTTCTATCATCTGGTGCACTCTCCAAATGGCCACAATGGCTAGAGCTGAGCCAATCCAAAGCCAGGAGCCGGGAGCATTCTTAGTTCTCCCATATGGGTGCAGGGGCCTGAGGACTTCAGCCATGCACATGGTCATAAGCAAGGAGCTGGACTGGAAATGGAACAGCTGGAACTGGTGCCCATATGAGCCGCTGGTGCTCCTAGGGGGACGATTAGCTTGTTGAGCCACCATACCGGTATCTGTCCAAGGTTTTGCATTCCAGCAACTTTTGGGTTACTTGATGGTTCAAAGACACCCTCTCACAATGGCCTGAGAGATTCTGCGGTCTCCGTATGGCCTTCGCTTTTGAAAAAGTTTTTTAAAGATTTATTTATTTTTATTATGAAGTCAGATATACAGAGAGGAGGAGAGAGAGGAAGATCTTCCATTCAATGATTCATTCCCCAAGTGACCACAACGGCCAGTGCTGTGCCCATCCGGAGTCAGGAACCAGTAACTTCCTCCAGGTCTCCCCTGCGGGTGCAGGGTCCCAAAGCTTTGGACCATCCTCGATTGCTTTCCCAGGCCACAAGCAGGGAGCTGGATAGGAAGTGGAGCTGCCGGGATTAGAACTGGCGCCTATATGGGATCCCAACATGTGCAAGGTGAGGACTTGAGCCACTAGGCCACGCTGCCAGGCCCTGGCCTTCACTTTTGTATTCATCTGGGGAGGGAATGAGCTGAAGTCTCATATTTTACATGCAGTGTGAATCACCACCACCTCCAGCACTCCTTCCTCTCCACCCCTATTAACTCCTCGTCCCAGCCTGGCTCCTGGCAACCACTCTTCCGTTTTCTTTTTCTACATCCCTGCAACTTATACATGGCTACATGACTTTATGCTCTTGGTTATACAGTGCACACATGTCCACCTTCTGAGCACTTTGAAATCAGCATGTGGCTTAGGGTCAGCCCGCACCATTGAGCTAGTGGCTTTCTTCCCTCTGTTGTCCTATGAACCAAAGCTGCTATTACCCCAAAGGGGAGGGAACGAACACTGGCTCACAGCACAGGCGATACTTCCCTTTCATTTCAGATCCGAGCAAACGCACTTTTAGGGAAGCTGAGTTAGGGTTCTGCAGTGTGTCCCCGGGGTTCAGGTACCCAAGCTGGTATGTTTCCCTGGCTGTCCCAGCTCTCCTGGAGCTTCCAGCCCTTGTGCAGAACCCCCAAACCCTGGCCCTGGCTTCCACCTACCAGGCTCCTGAAACCCAGCTTTGGAAGACAGTTGACTATACCTCTGCCTTGTTTTGTCTTGTATGCTTACTTAAACAAAAATTCTATCTCAAGCTCTTTGTTTCTTTTTTAAAGATTTATTTGAAAGGTCAAGTTACAGAGAAAGTAGAGACAGGAGAGAGAGAGAGAGAGAGAGAGAGAGAATCTTCTATCTGCTGATTCACTCCTGAGATGGAGCCTGGAAATTCCTCCAGGTCTCCACGCGGGTGCAGGATCCCAAGGCTTTGGGCCGTCCTCCACTGCTCTCCCAGGCCACAAGCAGGGAGCTGGATGGGAAGCAGGGCCACCAGGCAATAAAATGTACACCAAAATTTGGACACTCCCCAAATGACCACAACCGAGCTGAGTCAATCCAAAGTCCAGAGCCAAGAGCTTTTTCTAAGTCTTACACATGGATTCAGGGACGTAAGGCCTTGGACCATCCTCTGCTGCTTTCCCAAACCATAAGCAGGGAGCTGGACAGAAGTGGAGCAGACATAACATGGATGGGATGCTGGCCCCAAAGGCAGAAGCTTAGCTTACTATGCCATGGCATCAGCCACGTAATACCCAATTTGTAATACCTCTTATGCGACGGACTGGCTTGGCCGGGAGTGAACAGTCCGACGGGAACAGGACCCCGGGAACGGTGGGCAAGAATTCAGCAAGTGACAAACAGACATGACAACTCAAGGCAGTTGTATCTGAGTGCGTTTTGGAAAAGCAAGGGCGTTATCAATTTACATAAAACAGATTATTGCAGAGGGACATTCTCTTTGTCTATTCATGTGGTTACATTTCTACAATTATTCCAGGGAGGTAAGAGGGTCTGTAGAGAAAGACTGTGCTCTAGCAGCCTGGTGACAGTCTGCAGTTGCTATTTCTTGTGGACGCAGTGTGGCACCAGCTGCAGTTCTCATCATTAAGCGCTTAGCTCTCACTGTGCCTTGTGCCTTACATTGGCTTTAATATTAACCTGTTTATTTTTCTTAGTTTTTTTTCTTCCTGTATGGCTTTTTAAGCTGTAGATCTCCACTATAATCTTTTCAGGAATTCTCAAAAATAGTCCCAGGTAGGTTTATTTTAATAAACCTAGTGACTTGATAGTTTTTATCCCATACTGCTTGCTATCCTTGTCCAGTCTCCTGCCAGAAGGCTTCATAGAACTATAAAGGAATATTGAGCTTTTGCTGCACATACATAGTACTATTCCAGCCATAAAGATAAGAGCAAAGAGAGAACAGCCAGGAATGCCAAGACCACTAGAGATGCAGCCCAGTGCAGGAGGCATCCTTCCTTGAAGCTTCCGGTGATTTCTCACGCAGGCTCCACTGGAGGTGGCTTGACACTCTTATGTGTATTTATTTTAACTATTTTGGAATCAAAACAAACTTATGCTAATTCCATTTTCCACACTGTTTTGAGGTCTCCCTCGTATAGTCAGTGGAATGATGCCTTTTTCACTTCCCATTGAAAAAAAGAAGCAATCCATGTTCACTGCAGTACATCTCCAGCAGATCTTTCCACGGATCAAAGAGGCGCGCATTGCCCGAGTCCGTGGTGGAAGACCTGCCTGCATGCTGGGCATGGCCAGAATTCAGTGCTGAGGGAGGGACGGGGTGCATTTGGGGGAGGCAAGCCAGGACACCTTGTACGGAGGCGCGGCAGACTACTCAAATGTTTCCGGTGGCTCCAAGATTCCTCATGGAGGAAATAAAAGAATCCTAAAACCTGCAGCACAGGGCTGCCTGGACTTTCAAGTGCTCTTTTCAGAACCATAAGCAGTTTGATAAAAATTAAATGTGGGCCTGGCGTGGTGGCCTAACAGCTAAAATCCTCGCCTTGTAAGCGCTGGGATCCCATCTGGATGCCAGTTCTGATCCTGGCGGTCCCGCTTCCCATCCAGCTCCCTGCTTGTGGCCTGGGAAAGCAGCTGAGGATGGCCTAAAGCTTTGGGATCCTGCACCCATGTGGAAGAACTGGAGGAAGTTCCTGGCTCCTGGCTGGTGTAGCTCCGGCCATTGCGTTCACTTGGGGAGTGAATCATTGGATGGAATATCTTCCTTTGTGGCTTTTTCTCCTCTCTGTAGATCTACCTTTGCAACAAAAATAAATAAATCTTAAAAAAAAAATTAAATGCCGAGGCTGACATTAAGCATAGAGGGTGAAGCCACTGTCTGTGATTCTGGCATTCCACACAGGCACTGGTTCGTATCCCAGCTGCCCTCCTTCCGATCCAGCTCACTGCAACTGTGCCTGGAAAGTAGCGTAAAATGGCCCAAGCTCTTGGGCTGCTGCACCCGTATGGGAGACCTGGATGAAGCTCCTGGTTGCTGGTTTCAGCTTGACCCAACCCTGGCTGCTGTGGCCCTTTGGGGGGATGAACCTACAGATGGAAGATTTCTTCCTTTTACTCTTTGTCTCCCTTTAAGATTTATTATTTTTATTGGAAGGCAGATCAGATTTACAGAGAAGAGAAAAAGAAAGATCTTCATCTACAGGTTCACTCCCCAAATGGCCGCGATGGCCAGAGCTGAGCCGATCCAAAGCCAGGAGTCAAAGCTTTGGGCCGTCCTCCACTGCTTTCCCAGGCCACAAGCAGGGAGCTGGATGGGAAGCGGGGCCGCTGGGATATGAACTGGCGCTCATGTGGGATCCCAGCACATGCAAGATGAGGACTTTAGCTACTTGGCTACCGTGCTGGGCCCGAGGCAGGAAATTCTGACACACACACTACACTGATGAACCCTGAAGACATAAATGACATTCTTAGAGGAGTATCTGTAGACTGAAGGTGGAACAGCAGTTCCCAGGAGCTGGGGGAGGGGAGATCGGAAGTGGGAAGTTCAGTGCTTCAGGAGGATTTACTCAGTCTCAGTTATCCAAGATGCAAGGAGTTCAGAAGGCTGATGATGGCAGTGGTTGCACAACATGAGTTCGTTACAGCACTGAGCTCTACACTGAGATGGTTGGGAAGGTAGGTTGTATGTTATGCAAACTCTAACATAATTTTAAAAAGAGATTGAAAAAAAAATAAATCATGCCAAGGATTAGATCCACTTCACTGGACTTTTTTGTAGACATTCTTGAAATCTCAGATATCACCATTCCACAAACACATCTCACTCCTTTTCCTCTGAGAATGTGCTAAGCTGTTCTGTCCCTTTGATGCTGTGAGTGGCCGTGTTACTGCTTTCATAGATTTGGCATGGGTGGAGGCCTTAAATGATGCCTGCACACTTGGACTAGCTTGCACTTTTGTGATTTTTATTATTTTCTTAAAAATTTACTTATTTTTATTGGAAAGTCGGATTTATGGAGAAGGAGAGACAGAGAAAAAGATCTTCCATCTGCTGGTTCACTCCCCAAGTGGCTGCAATGGCCAGAGCTTAGCCCATCTGAAGCCAGGAGCTTCTTCTGGGTCTTCCATGTGGGTGAAGGGTTCCAATGCTTGCTGTTGCCAGTCATTGATGGATCTGGGAATGATTTGTTACCTAACCTTGTAATACTAATATCTCATTAGTACCTCCATCAACATCACTTATTTTCCTTGCTTCCTCCCAGACCCAGAATAGCAGAGACTTGCTGCTGACTGCTCGGTAACTGGTCAACCACTAGGCTGGACGGAAGCGCCACTGCTCTACCTTCACTTGTTAAAACGAAGCCCTTGGAGACCTGACATCTGGTCCCCTGAATGTCAGTTTATTTCTCTGGGCATTGATGACCTTTTTTCTTAAAGGTTTATTTTTATTGAAAAGTCAGATTTACAGAGAGAAGGAAAGACATAGAGAAAGATAGGCCACTTTTCAAGTGGCCGCAACTGCCAGAACTGAGCCAATCCAAAGTCAGGAGCCAGGGGTTTCTTGTAGGTCTCATGTGGTTGCAGGTCCCAAGGCTTTGGGCCATCCTCAGTTGCTTTCCCAGGCCACAGGCAGGGAGCTGGATGGGAAGTAGGACAGCTGGGATACAAACCAGCACCCATAAGGAATCCTGGCAAATGCAAGGCAAGGACTCCAGGCACTAGGCTGCCATGCTAGACCTTACAACTTTTTAAAAATTTAACATTTATTAGTTTACTTGAGAGACGGAGAAAGAAGTCTTTCATTATTGGTTCACTCCTCCGATGAACGGGTGAAATGTTTGGGGCTGGTCAAGCCAAAGTTGAGAGTTTCATCCAGGTCCCCCAGATGGGTGCAGGGGCCCAAACAATTGGGTCAATTTCCACAGCTTTTCCCAGGCCATTAGCAGGGGCTGAATTGGAAGTGTAACATCCTGGACTCCAATGCAGCCGTATAGGATACTTTACTTACTTAGGTGGTGGCTGCTTTACCCCCTATGCCACAATGCCAGCCCCCCACTTGGTGACTTTCATAATATCAAGTTATTTCATATAGAAAGGTTCCTTTCTCGGCCCCAAATTTTGAAGGCCTTGCCTGGCTGCCCCTTTCTCACCTGGGCGTGGCTCAGCAGGGGGAGGGTGGCATGGTGGGCTGAGCAGAAAGCCTGGCTGTCCTCCCAGGTTCGTGCCTCCGCAGAGAGGTAGTAACAGTGGTCCTCTGACCATATCCAGCCCCATGGGCACGGCTGGCACCGGCCTCCTGCAAGCACAGAGACCGCGAGATGAAGCGCGTCAGGGCGGAAATTGCCAAGGGCTGCATGCGCACACACAAGGTCGCGGGGATAAAACCTGGCCGTGACCTAGACTGTGCTTGGAGCAGGTACGTGTCATGATGGGCAGGAGGAGGGGTGGGACCTGAGGAAGGCTGAGGAGTCTGCAGTGTAAACAAACACATTCATCAGCATGGAGGCTGCCTGGGTGGGGTTGGCATGCCACGGCACGCCAGGTGCATGCTAAACCTAGCAGATGGAAGGAGCCAACGTTTCTTAGGTTTTAGGGGTGGCGAAACTAAGACTGCCATTTGGATATTTCTAACATCATTTGTAGGTTATACAAAATGATGAACTTAAAAAAACCAGTCTGCTAAAGATGGGATTTTTGAGCCATGGCAGGGCTAGACCACATGATTTTGCAGGTCTCACTGGCCCAGGGGCTGATGCTCCTCATTCCTGGTAGCTCCCCAGCCCCAGGTCTTCTTGCATTTTCCCAGTGGCGATGTCTCCTGCAAAAATCTCAAAGGTGCTGTGTGGGCTGGACACAGCCCTGGTGCTGGGGTAGCAGGCAGACGGGACACAGTACCTGTCTTAGAGGCCAGGATGACAATGACAACCGTGGAGACAGCCAGCAGCACGGCCATGACCGCCAGGGCCCAGCGTAGGGACTTCATGTAGGTGGGCAGGCCTGGAAAAACCACATAGGAATTCCTAGAGCAGCGTTTCAAGAGTTTGAAAACAAGGATTCCATATAAAACATGTGTGTGCTTTGGCATATACCCACATGTAAATGCACCTGTGTGTATGTGGCACACATGCACGTACAAAGGACACATGTTCAATCAGAATTCGACTTTAAAAGCATATGCACTTTTGGAATCTTTTTTTTTTTTTCATTTGCATTGGAAAAACCACTTGCTTTAAAGATCATAAAGGAAAGTGTGCTATACTAACACTTTATTTTTTTTTTAAAGGTTACTTTCTGTTCATGTGAAAGGTAGAGAGAGACAGAGAGACAATTTCAACTCAGATCCATAGCTTTGCAATCATAGTTTTCGTCCTGCCTGTGTTGGCTACAATGTGACTGCCGTTCCCATCCTGCTGCCCAAACTCCACCTGCTCCCTTGCGGACAAACACTATAACGGGGAGGAGGCATCCAGGTCTTGTGGAACTTAAGGTTTATTCCATGGAGGGGCAGGGAGGCATCTTCTCAAATGCCAAGGGGTTTTCAGGAGGCTCATGCCAGGGCATCAACACCCCAGCGTCCATATGGGACCTTCAGGAAGTTCACGCGGCACCTGTCACTCTGTCCGAGCTCAGTTCAGCTTCTTGCAATTCTCAGGCACTCCCACACCTCTCTTCTCCCTGTCACTATGAGTTTTTGACTCCTGGTAGAAAGTGGAAAAACACTCTGTCGGCTTGGAACATGTTATGCTTCAGAATTAAAACAATGCGGAGGTCTCTTGCTGCAGCGACTTGAGCAGGATTGCTAGGAGCCGGGCTTGGAGCAAGAAGCTGAGGCAGACACACCGGACACGGGAGAGATCGCCAGCTTCAATAAGACCAAGCTGAAGAAGATGGCCACAGGCGAACACCCTGCTGACCAGAGGCCATTGAGCAGGAGAAGCTGAGCGAGATGTCCTAAGAGCCTGGGGGGAGGACCCCAGGTGCGATGTGGAAGATAGGGCACCTACATGATAGACGTGAGCCACAAAGCCTCACTGTGACCCAGGTACTCTATGCTACTGCTACCCACCTGTGGGTCTCTGCCAGGACCCTCCAACTAATTGACTGCCAGATTTCTCCAGTCTGACCTGAGATATTACAGAAAATTATTTTTATGATGAATGAAAATAAAAAACACTTTGTGGCAGACACACACACACACACACACACACACAGACTACAGTTTGAAAAGGAAACAAAAACACAGCAAAAAGTCCATGGCAAATGTGTACTAGGAAAAAAATAATAATAAAACTATACCTGGATTTAAAAACTTTTGGCACCAAAATAAACTTGGATTAACTTGAGCCAACTTGTCCAAACAGGCCCTGGCTTGAGTCATGAAGAAGAATAAGACACCGGTTTGGAAAGGGACCCCATGGTAGGGATGTGAATTCCACAGAAACGAAGCCCAACAGACACCAGATTCGTGGGAAGGTCGGCTGGAGATGCTTTGGTCAAAGCAAAAGTGGACCAGAGAGGAGCAAGGTTTTGGAGGCAAGGCTAGCGCAGCTCTCTGGGGACTCGGAGAACAGCCGCCTCTGCTTATTTGGAGAGCGTCCTGTCAAAGCCCCCTGGAGTTGTTCTCACCACGACCACTGCTGCACCTGCTCATTCTGCTCACCAAGAAGCACTTCTGAATGAGTTTTAGCGGCGAGTCATGAGGACTCCATCTTTCAGTCCTGACTCGCTTCCTTCCACCTTCCTTCTCTTTCCTAAACTTAAAAAAACCAAAAAACCTTTACAGGATGCCCATTTTTCTTTGGTTATTAACATAAAAGATTGCATCAATGTGGTTAAATTCCTAGGACCCGTACTTCTTTTGACTTTCCTTTTTTTTAAGTATTATTTTCATTGGAAAGGCAGATTCACAGAGAAGAGAAAGAAAGATCTTCCATTTGCTGGCTCATTCCCAAACATTCCCTTGCTTCCAGAAACTATCCTTTTTTTTTTCCCTCTGTGCCCCCTATTCTCTTATCACCTCCATGTTTCTGCACCGTCTCTGCCAGTAGCTGGCTCTTCCTCCCATTCTTTTAAGTGTCATCTCTCCCAGAGCTACCTCGCATTTGTTTCTTCCACCCTTCTCTCTCTGTGGAGAGGAGACCGCAGTCGCTCAGGAAGCTGGCTGCAGTCAGAAGTGTGGGAGACGCCCCCACCTTCATCTGGTCAGTGGTCCAGCCTTCCAGCACTGCCTCCTGAACCCTCCCTCTTCGTTCTGCACCGGCCACATCCTCCTTGCCTTGTCACTGCTCTCCCCTGGCAACTGGCTCCCCTCCTTCAGTCTCACCCCAGCCCCAGGCTCCCTCCCCAGGGCTGGTGGAGTTCACTCTTCCTTAGGAAAAGCATTCGTGTCCCCACCACCAGCTCCTCCTGTGTAGTCACAGTTTCCGTTGAATCCAACAAGAAGCTACCAACTCATCAAGGTAGACAGAATGTGCGCATGCTCACTCAGCAAAGAGGCATGATGGTCGGTGGCCAGCAAATCTTTGAGGGGAAACAGAGATCCCTATAGACTGGAAAAGCAGCAAGGCGAGAGACTTCTGCCCCCAGAAAGCAGCACACCTTGACTGAGTCATCGAGCTGGCCTCAGACTTCTGAGTCATGTAAAGCTGCAAGGTCGTGCTACTCTGTTCCAAGAGAATGCTACGGATTCTTAAGTGGGGCGGAGCACCCAGAAGGTGTGCGCTGGGGGAGGAGTTAGGGCGCAGGACCCCTACCCGGCAGAGGGGGCTCTGGGTGCCGGTGAGCACTCACCTATGAGCGTCATCGCTCGGGGGAGCTTCTTGGTGTCCCAGCCTGCACGCAGCAGCTGCACCGCCTCTTCATCCAGTTCGTGCTCCTTGCAGCGACAGCGGCGCGTGGGAGAGCCCGGCGAGACCGCGCGGCCCTTGGCGTCGCTGCCGCGCTCCGTCGGGCCAACGGCCAGCGGCGAGCCCTGGCCTTCGGTGGACGACAGCGGGTGCGCGAGGGAGGCGGGGGACTCGGGCACCGGCACGGTGAGGAAGCGCGTGGACGGCGACGGCGGGGGTGCTTGGCTGCCAACGGCGGCGCCCATCGGCTTCACGCGCACGTCCACCTGCAGTTCCATGGGCGCCCAGGAGCCGGACGGCTGCTCTCCCGGAGCAGCCCAGGGCTCCTGCTCGGCTCCGGTCGCCGCCTCGCCATCCCGGGGCTGCTCCGCCCAGGCGGCGCCCGGCGACGGCGGTTCTCGGCTGGCCGATCCCAGGCGGCGGAAGGCGCCGTAGCCCAGGCTGAGCGGCGGCATGGCCAGGGGGCCCGGGCGAGGAGGCGGCGGCTTCTTCTCATCCGGAAGGTTCCTGGCCGAGCCCCCCGCCTCCTCACTCAGGCTGCTTTGGAGACTCCCGGGCTGCCGCCTTTCCCCAGGGCCCTGCGGCTGCTCTGGGTCCGAGTCCTGGCTTTCCAGGAGCTCCATTTGCGGGAACTCCGCCTCGGCTCGGCCGTCTTCCGAAGCCTTCATGGTCCCGTCCACCCCGCGCGCCGAGTAACGCGGGAAAGCCGAGAGGAGCTCACCTGAGCCCAGGTGGCAGACAGCTTCGCCCTCTTGAGCCGCGATTGGCTCCCGCCGCCTCATGTGGGCGGCCGGGTCCCGCCTCCTCCGGCAGACGCCCCGCTCCGATTGGCTGCGTGTCGGCCACGCCCCACGGCACCGCCCCCACGTGGCGTAGGGAGGTGGGCGTGGCCGCCGTCTCCGCCGTTTTGGGGGTGTGGGCCGAGGCCTTTTGGGGCAGAGAGGAGCTGAACTGCGAGCCGAGCACTTTAGGGAGGAACCTGGAGCCCCACCGGGCTCCTCCCTCTGTGACTGCCCCTGGCCCCACTCACTCTCCCCTCCAGCCCTTCCCGCCGCTTCCCGGCGTCGATTTGGGCTGGAAGCAATGGGTCAACCCCGTCTGGATTACTGGGATCTCAAAAAACAGCGCCGCACCCCAGGACTGTCGGTCGACCCAGGCCTGGAGACAGCGGCTCCTGCTAGTCTAACTCCGGGGAGGAAGGGGAATGAGGAAGCCAGCGGTCTTTATTTTCACCTGGAGAGAGAGAGAGAGAGCTCCCCACTCTGGCCGGCGCACCGAACACATTTTAGGCTTGCCCGCTGAGCTCCTCCTAGAGGTACTGAGAGCTTTTAGCTGGGTGAGGCTGCTGCTCTAAATTTTATTAAAAGATCTGTTTGAAGGCAAAGTGAGAAGAACAAGTCTTCCACCTGCCGGTTTACTCCCCAGATTGCAGCGACGACAGACGCTGGGCCAGGCTGAAGCCAGGACCATCAGCTCCCACCTGAGTAGCAAGGACTTCCCAGGATAGGGGCAGCCTTCCACGGGCCACCGCCTGTTGCCTGCCCAGGCCCATGATTCTGGAGCTGGGACTTGAACCTGTAGTATTTTTAACAAGTGCCCCAAGATAGGATTAGCATTATAAAACACGGGCAATTCAGTGATACCTGCCCCGTCTCCCTTGGATTGGCTCTTGTAGGTTGGTGTGGAGCTTTCCATTCCCTGTGGTCTCAGAACGGCTTTCCCATTGTCTTGAGAGCTCCAGTACCTGCCTGCTCTGGTCTGGGCTAGGGCTCCCCTGCACCTGGGATGGGGTGCGGATCTGCTGACAACACCTGTCCCACTCCTAGGAACCTAGATACTAGGATACATGTTACTGGGGCCCATTTGCTGAGTTTTATTAAAGTGAGAGCCAAAAAGTCTCTAGGCTTACCTAACATGTTGGGGGATGCTATCCCCAACACCCACCCTCACTATCTTTAGGAGCCAACCTCACCATAAGGAAGAGCTGCACAAACTATTTGTTAAGTCCTATCAAGTTCCTACCTTCATCCTCCTCCCCTTTTTAAAGGTATATTTACTTGAGAGAGAGAAAGAGATCTTCCATCCACTAGTTCATTCCTCCAATATCTGCAACAAGCAGGGCTGAGCCAGGTCAAAACCAAGAGCTTCCCAGTCTCCTACATGGGGGTAGGGTCCCAAGGACGTGGGCCATCCTCCACTGCTTTCCCAATCCATAAGCAGGAAACTGCATCAGAAGTGGTGCAGCCAGGACTCAAACCAGCATCCATATGGGATATCGACACCTTAGGTGGAAGCTTAGCTTACTATACCATGGTGCTAGACTAGCCTAGATGATCTTTTTCCACCCCCGGAACCACCCCCGGAGTCCAATGCCAGGGGATTGCATAGGGACCCTGGGATCTCTTGGGGTCCTGCAAGAGTCATCTCACTCCAGGGTCATGTTTCACAGCTCTGCTGCTTGTTCCTGATATACACACAGACTCCAGGCTTCAGGATGTGCCGCCTTTCATATGCACCTGCTGAACGCCACATTCCCACCTCTTCCCACAGCAACCCCTGGAGGGGCAGTCTCTGCACCCATGCACCCCACATCCCTCCCAGCCCTTGCCCTGTCCCCATACAGTGGCCTCCATCCTTGGACCGCTCCTAGGATTCTGTCCACAAACCCTTCCTCTCGCGCAACCTCCTGGATGATTATTTTATGAGGCCAGGCTTTTAGAAACAGAACACTCAGCTTTCCCTGGGGCCAGACACATTTTCACTTTGAGGACAAAAAGTCCAACTGTTCTCTTGAGAGGAAATAGCAGAATCCCTATTTTGTGGGGTTCTGCATATATAGCAAAGTCAGATGGCTAATTTTAAATCAGTCTGCGCCCGGCCATCACTGGATGTGTCTGTGACGGCTTGTCGGGAGCTGCGGGGACAGCGGCTCCACGCCAGGGCTAAGGCTTACAGTGGTGCCTCTGTCCATAGCACCTGCTAGGACTAAGCAGCCCACAGCTGCTCTGTTGGATGAATGGTTCTAGTCCAGAGCCCCTCTTCTAGTACCTGGCCTCTGGCTCTGTTGTGTGACTAAACCACAGAGGGAGACTTAGGGTCTTTTTTTTTTTTTTTTGCAAGAACTTGGCTACTCAAGGCTCAACTATGCCAACTTTCCCGAGGACAAAAAGACTCAGTTCTCCTCAAACCCACCAGAAAGAGGTTTGTCCATCTTCTGGATCAGGCCCCAGATGACCTCAATGTCTGGAGCTGATCCAGGCTGAAGCCAGAAGCCAGAGCGCCATCAATGTCTCCCCTGTGGGTGTGTGGACACACGCACTTGGGCCACCCTCCACTGCCTTCCCAGGTACATTTCCATGGAGTTGGATTAAAAGTGAAGCAGCTGGGACTTGAACTGGCACTTGGATATAGGATGCCAGCACTAGATAGTGCAGTTTAATCTGATGTGCCACAATGCCAGCCCCATCAAACCCACCACATTCTGTTTCTATTTGAGGATTGGACTGCTGGTTGCTCTGCAGGAGGGCAGGGCTACAGGCAGCCAGTGGCCAGGACCATTCAGGATCAAGCATAAAGATGCAAGGCCTCAGTCACTCCATAGATGGTCCACAGAAGACCTGGTGCCAACGTGCGCACTAGCGCAACCCTCTGGGGAGTTGGTCCCAGACACCACGAACGGCCCTAGTCGTGCCCCCTTACAGGGCCTGGCATCCAGAACACTTGGAATCCTAAACCTTTCTCCCGTTCCAAAACGTGCCGTTATACGTCCTGAAGGTCGCTAGAGGGCGGCCGTGTGTAAAGGGAGAGTGCAGCCCGGCGCGCGCGCCCCCAGGCCCGGCGGGGCGCCAGGCACACGGGGACCACCCTCCCTAGGCCGGGTCTCTAAGGCCGCGGAGACAGCGCCCGGCGGGAGAAAGCGGCGCTGGCAGGCGGTCTATTCCGCCCAAGGGCTGAGAAGATGATTTCTCCACCTCGCCCTGGGGCCCTTCCCAGCGCTCCATCGCCCCAGGCGGAGGTTCCGGGCTCCCATCACCGGGCGCAGATTGGCTACAGCTCTGGGAACCTGTTTTGTCCTCAAAGGTTGTTTGCAGATGAAGCGCTATCTCCAGGGGAAGGTGTGAGCCGTGAGGGAAAGAGTACCTGCCGAGCTGGGCGCCGGTGGCGCCAACCCCAGAGCCCGAGACCGCGGCCAGCTGGCTGCCCATTCGCAGTGGAGTGAAGCGCCGGCGAAGTTTCCTTTCCAAATCAGGACGGTTCAAGGCTTGTGCAATTAAAGGATCATTAGGAGCCGGTGTCTGACCTAGCGGTTAGGACGCTCGACCCCACGTGGGAGCGCCTGCATTCGCCTCCCTGCTGATGCGCATCTCGCAAGACAGCAGGTGAAGGCTCAAGTAGTTGAGTTGGTGCCACCCAGGTGGGATTGAGTTCCCAGCCGATGGGAATCCTTTCTCAAATAAATAGTTCTAAAATAATTAAAACGATGTGAAAATAATGAGTCAGCAGCCTTCTATACGGAACTGGGTGTGAATTCACTGTGCCCTGCGGACCTCAGCCAGCGTGGAGGCTCCTGGGATGGCCATAGTTGCCAACTGCAGGTTTTCATACTGCGAGCGAACCCCCTTCCCAGAGCTGCTAGGGTTCTCTTTATCTCTCTTTTTAAAGATTATTATTATTATTATTATTATTTTACTAGAAAGGTAGAGCAACAGAAAGGGAGATCTTCCATTCCCAAGTTTGCTTCTACAGTCATCACGGCTGTCCGTCCCTGGCAGAAGCCAGGAATTCCATCTTCAATGGTAGGAATCAAACAGGTGCATCAGAAGGGAGCTGGATGGGAAGCAGAACAGCCCCCACCCAATCCGGACCCAAGTGGCACTTCTGGCATAGGATGCTATCCTCGCAAGCGGCAGTTTAACGCACTACACCACGATGCCGGTCCTTTTTGATTTTTGACCTTGTGATCGTTGTTCCAAATGCTTCAGGAGCACCTACAGAGGCTGAGTGAGATCAAAGCTGCAGCAAGCAGTGGACACTGCATGCTGGCCAAGCCCACCCACCTGCTCCATGATCCTTATTTTTTATTGGAAAGGTAGATTTAAAGAGAAAAGGAGAGACACAGAGAAGGATCTTCCGTCCACTGGTTCACTCCCCAAGTGTCTGCAAAGACTGGAGCTGAACCAATACAAAACCAGGACCCTAGAGCTTCTTCTGGTTGCAGGGTCCCAAGGCCTTGGGCCGTCCTCCACCGCTTTCCCAGGCCACGAACAGAGAGCTGGATGGGAAGTGGGGCAGCCAGGACACCCACTGGTGCCTCTGTGGGGTGCTAGCACTGTACGTGGAGGAACGCGCTGTGCCACTATGCTGTCCCCCACCATGTGCCTTTTGGTCACTCACAATCAGAGCCTCGCGGTACCGGGTTTCTTAGCATCAGCAGAACATCCTAAACAGTAAACATTAAATGGTGAGTTTAACAATAAGTGAGAAATCAAACCAACGTCTAGACAAAGGGATGAATCTGGTTGGCAGGCATGGATGCTGACAGTCGGCGTCCTCCAGGGGGCGCTGTGCTCTTGTCTCCCTGTGCTGGCAGGGGACTATGTGCTGCTGTCACCAGCAGGTGCAACCAGGTCCGTTGTTATGGATGCCACCGTTCAGACCCTGCCCAGGCCACTAAGAGTGGGGTTGGGGAGACACAGAGTCGGGGCCCTTTTCTGCGGATTGTCTGTTTCGGTGAGAAAAAGGGGTCTCCAACATTTCTGAGCAGGTCAGCCCAACGGCAGAAACCATTCCTACCCTTGGGCATACTTTCCAGTTGCCCATGAATAATTAACCAGCTGTGCACGCTATTTTATGCTTCTCTGGTCCGCAGAGTGCTCCCTTACGCAGAATAATTCTCCTCCACATCAAGTTCAGTCATTTCAGAGAACTTTTGACCCAGGAATCTCACTTTGAGAAATTTCTTCCTAAGAAATGTTTCACATGGACATAAAATGTCTGAGAGGCAGCGCTGGTTTTATTAGGAAGAAAGTAAAAGCCATTCAAATGCCTATCAAGAAGAGAAAAATGAAGCCATAAGCGTTGTAGTAGCTCTGGGCCTGGCATGATGGCTGGCTCAGTGGCTAAATCCTCACTTTGCGTATGTCAGGATCTCATTTGGGCACCGGTTCGTGTCCCAGCTGTCCCACTTCCCATCCAGTTCCCTGCTTGTGGCCTGGGAAAGCAGTCGAGGATGGCCCAAAGCCTCGGGTTCCTGCACCCACATGGGAAACCTGGAAGACGCTCCTGGCTCCTGGATTTGGATCAGCTCAGCTCTGGCCACTGCAGCCATTTGAGGAATGAACCAGGGATGGAAGAGCTTTCTCTCTGTCTTTCCTTTCCTTCGTAAATCTGATCTGCCTTTCTACTAACAGTGCAGCTCTGCACTATGAAGTTTTATGTGAAGAATGGGATAAATATACAGGAAGTGACGCAAATGCCACCGCGCCAGGCCCCTGGACTCTTTTTTAAAAAAAGATTTATTTATAATTTTTATTGGAAAGGCGGACATGCAGAGAGGAGAGACAGAGAGAAAAATCTTCCGTCCAATCGTTCACTCTCTAAGCGACCGCAATGGCCGGAGCTGAGCTAATCCGAAACCAGGAGCCAGGGTGCCAAGCCTTGGGCTGTCCTCGACTGCCTTCCCAGGCCACAAGCAGGGAGCTGGATGGGAAGCATGGTCACCGGGATTAGAACTGGTGACCATATGGGATCCCGGCATGTGCAAGGTGAGGACTTCAACCACTATGCTATCGCGCCGGGCCCAAGCAGCTGGAATCTGAGCAGTCATGCTAGAGACCTGGATTGAAGTCTTGGCCCAGCTCTTTGATTCTGGCTGTTTTGGGGTGGGGTTGGGGATGAACCAGCAGAGAAGAGTCCTCTTTTTCTGCCTCCCAAATAAGCAATTTCTAAAAAGAAACAGTAAGAAGAAATGATCACGATAAATCTAACTTTTTACAACAATGTGTCTAAGTACATAAAGGGTAAATTGTGTTATAAAGAAACATTCTTTCTGAAATGCCCATCTATTTGCTTTGCAATAAGGAACTATCTGTTCATTTCTGCTGTTTTACAAAAATCTATATATATATAATCAGATTTGGGGTTTTTCCTTGGCGGGGGTGGGGAGAGGGAGAGTTGAGTTTACTGCCACTTGCAGGGTCCTGTTACCCTCCGGGGACAGGCTAATGTAGGAGGCAGTGGCTTTTGGCAGGTTTATTCCTGAAGGCGTCATGTTCATCCGTAAAGCAGTCTTGTGGCCAGGAGCTGCTTTCCTGCTGCAAATTTTAGTTCCATTTAGAAACACCATCCCTAGTTGTTCCTGGGGCAGCCTGGTGGTCTCCCACTTTAGGACCTGCTAGAGAGGGGGGCGGAGAGAAAGAGAGAGAGAGAGAAAGAGAGAAACTAGCAGGAGCTGTGGGACTGGACTGGCTTCCTAGTGCCTAGCACAGGACCAGTTGATGTGATGTCTCAGGGCTTTGCAGATGTAGAGCTGGACATCAACATGAACTGTTTCACATGAACAGTTGTAGGGCTTGTTCAGCCAAATCAATCCTTTCTGGGGCAGCTTTGGGGCTGGGCTGCATAAGAGGGCACTCAGTGGGCTTAAAGCTTCTTTCAGACCATCCTCAACCCCTTTAAATCCCCTAATCCAGACCCCCCACCCCCTGCCGTTGCAGGATAGTTCTCACTTTGTTTCTGGAAAAGGAGAAACGTCCTGAGCCCGGAGCTGAACTCTGAATTCCCTTTTCCCTCTGGTGGTCCCCACGCCCAGCACTTGTTCCAGGACCTCTCCCAAGGCTCAGATTCCATGCATCTAGAGGGTCTCTGCACTCTCCAGGAGGTGAAAATCCCAGTACAGATGCTCTGAATGGAACTTCAAAGTGGACCTGGGGACAGTATTGTGGTCCAACAGGTTAAGACTGCTTCTTGTGGTGCTGGAGACCTAAGTTAGAATACTAGTGGGGTACCAGCTGCTCAGCTTTCACTCCAGTCTCCTCCTACTGTTTCTGGGAAGAGAGCGGCAGATGGCCCAAGTGCTTAGGCTCTGCTACTCACGTGGGAGACCACAATGAAGTTCCTGGCCTCTGAAAGGAAATGAACAGGCTTTTTTTTTTTTCCAAAAGAACAAATTCAGTTGGCCAATAGGCATATGAAAAAATCCTCAGGTTATCTAGCTGTCAGGGGAATGCAAATAAAAAGCACAGTGAGGTTCTGCCTGACTCCAGTGAGAATGACCTCCGTAGAGAAATCTACTAACAACACCTGCTGGTGTGGATGTGGGAAAAAGGAAGCCTACAGCGTTGCTGGTGGAAATGTAGACTAGTGTAGCTGCTATGGAAGTCAGTATGCGGAGTGCTCAGAGAACTGAAAATTGATCTACTGTATGACCCAGCAATCTTACTCTTTGAAATATGTCCAAATAAAGCAAAATTTGCATATGAGAAACTGACCTGCATCTCCCTACTTATAGTAGCACAATCTAAAATAGTGAACGCATGGAACAACACAGATGTTCGTCAACAGATGAATGGATAAAGAAACCGTGGTCCATCTACTCTATGGGATCCTACCATTTGCAACAAAGTGATCCCAACTTGGGACCATTATGCTTAGTGAAATAAGCCAATCCCCAAAGGACAAATATAATGTTTTCTCTGATATAGACTTTAGGCTAATTACAAAATAAATAGATGTGGGTACCCATATACATTGACGCTCACAGATGAATAGCACAGCAGGGATTCACATACCAAGAAGTGAAGATACGCTGCAGTAGGTATCTCTATTCCCTAATCAAAGGAGGAACCCTGAAACAGCGAAATGCACCTTGGCAAGAGGATACCAGATTTTCTACCTTTACTTACAATGCTATGATACACTTACAAAGCAGAATGTTTAATCTGTAACTGTTACTAAAGAAAGGGCTATATTACTTTGATAATATGGAGAGAAATTGTGGGAGGGCAAAATGGGGAGGGAGGAAGGAAAGGGGTAGGGAGAAATCTCTATACTTAAAAAATTGTATCACAGAAAATAATAACAGTTAAAAGACACACACCAAAGTTCCTGGCTTCTCGCTCCCGCCTGGTCTGGCTGTGACAGCTGTTTTGGGGAACGAACCAGCAGATTGAAAATCTCTCTATTTTTCTCTGTGTGTCTTTCATCTTCCTGTTACTCTGTTTTTCAAATAAGTAAAAATCTATCAACATCATCAACAACAAAAGACACAGAAGGTGGAGCTGGTTAGTTGATGTTTCATGAAATCGCCCATGTGAAACAGCCAGAAAGTTGGAAAATAACATATACACACAAGTCTTCATCCCACACGCCCAGTTCCTCTCTAAGAGAGGATGCGTAGACAGACTGTTGTCTGGGTCTATATGTATAAACTGCTTTTAGCAGACACGGATGGCAGGCGCTATACACACTGCTCTGTACTTGGCTTCCTTCTTAAGCCTCCTGGAGGTTGCTCCAAATCAGCACGTGATCTCTGCCTTGTTCTTTGTAAACAGCTACACATCAACCCACCATCCTTGCTTCTAACCTTTCTCTTTTCTTCTCCTAAAAGTAGCCTGGGGTTTATTTGGCAGCCATCTTTCTCCACTGCTGCATTCCGTGTGACCCTGAAGAAACTCTTGGCTTTGGATCAGCTCAGCTCCAGCAGTTTCAGACACTGGGGAGTGAATCAGTGGATGGAAGACCCCTTTCTCTTCTCTCTAACTCTGCCTTTCAAATCAAAAGAAAATAAATCTTTTTAAAAAGTTCTGTGAATGGACAGCCTCAAGGGTCATTGTTTTATTCTGGGTCCCCTAGAAACAGACTCTGCCACATGCATTGAAGGCAGGTAGCTGTGTGGGTTTTGGTTGCTTCTTTTTGGATGCAATCCTCATGAAATGTGGATGGGAGTGGGGTATCCCACACTGCTGTGTGTGGACTCTGAGGTGCCTGGTTCCACTTGTAACCAGCCCCGGAGTCTGTCGGCTGATGCTAGAAGGCTTCTAAGGTACCTACCACCTGCACTTTCACATCATGCACTCAAAACTCATCTGGATCCTCCCTGTTGACCATGAGAGCGTCTTGCTCTTCAACTGCTTCAACTGCTACCGAGTGTCCCCGAAGCATTTTGTGATCATGACCTTGCCTTGCTCAAGTATCTTGGATGTTTCCTTCTGCCTACATGAAATGAAGTCTGGAATTTGGGAGACCCTGGTGTCCCAAGCAGCTGCTATCCTGGGAATAGGGGATATGGCAGTACCTGCTCCCACACATTTAGTCACCTCCCTGCAGAACAAAGCAAGAACAAGAGTATGTGGCAAATGCTATGGCAAGAGAGGTGGGGAACTTTCTAAGAGCCCAAAGGGGAGGTGGCAAAACAGTATTGGCTCACAGGAGATTCGGGGGCACAGACAGCTGACGGCGTCGTGGTCCAGTGTCTACTTCCTAAGGACTCATGCATTCCTGCAGTGGCAACAGTTCCAGCCCAACACCACTGTATTCTCAGAGACTTGCTGATGGAAGTGGCCAGTGGGAGCTAAGTGGAAGGTACTGGAGTTTCTGGAAAGGCTATTCTTGTAAGGTTTTCATATATTTATTTATCTATTTTATTCATTTGAAAGGCAGATAGCTTGAACTCCTACACACTGGTTCACTCCCCAAAACTTGTGATGGCTGCAGCTGGACTGAAGCTAAAGTCATGAGCCAGGGACTTGATCCAGGTCTTTCATGTGAGTGGAAGGACCCAAGCACTGGAGCCATCATTTGCTGCCTCTGAGGGTGCACATCGGCAGAAAGTGGAATTGCTGTGCCACACACCTGCCGCAGGTTTAGAGAAATCCAGTTCTAGATATGGGTACCTCTTCCTGCTTTCCCCCTTGGTCCTGCTTACTTCTGCCAGCCTGGGATCCAAGTGTGGGGGCCGGAACTCAGGTGCCCATATTGGGACTGTAAGAAAGTTGAACATTCACTCTACGTACTTAGAACGGTTTGTGTATGGAGGACACAAGGAAACGAGTCCCTGGGAAGCATGTGGCCCCCAATTTAAACCCGGAACAACCACCTCCATCTCCAAGGACAAACCATCAAAGCCACTGTTAACTGGGGATTCTTGTTAAGAATCTGTTGAGCCAAGTCTGAATGAATGCAGCCCTGCTGTCTGAAGCAGGAGCAGAGATTAAGTGGGCAGCCTGGTGGACATCCCCAGGCAGCAGGGAGGCCACTGGCAGGGCCATGGAGGAGGGGATGTTGTAGGCAGAGGTGTAAGATAGTCAAAGGCCTACAGGGAAGAACGGATACCAGATGTGTTTGGGGAGGGTGGAGAAGGCAGGAGAGGAGACCAACCTGACACAGGGAAGGACTAGAGACTCCATGCCCTCGGAGTCTGGGGGAAAGTGGCAGTGTGGGCTGGGAGGCCTTTTCTGAAGCTATAGGTGGGTGAACCCAGGGCTGGGATCCTTCTGTACTTGGCCAGTAGCTGGAGCGTCTGAGATCATAAAAGGCAGGATTTGTGGGAGTGGAGTAAGGGGGCAGGAGGAGCTGAGGGAGGGAGAACTGCAGACCAAGACGACAATCTGAGGTGACTGGGGCAAGGGAGATCCAGGCTGGTAGGTCTTAAGCCAGGTCTGAGCCTGGGTCCATCAGAACAAGAAGAAAATTCAGCAAAAGCTATGGCCAGGGCACAGGTCTGTGAGTCAGACATCTGGTCAAGCATCTCCTTGGCCTGCCGACTCATCCTCCTGACCTCTTTCAATCTCGCTCTCAACTTAAAATAGGAGGTGCTGTCAGTGATGGTTCCCCGCCGAGTAGGTGCTCAGCAGAAGCCAATTGGATCTGCAGCTTGGCCATGTGTGTCTGCATTCCGGGGTCCCGTGGTTCCTTCTCTGTCAGGGGAACTGCCTGGTGAGGAATGTCTGTTTATTTGGAAGTAGTTACAAGCTTGTATACTCTAAGTATGAGAAGGGGTTGACAGAAGGGTGGTCCTAATAGCATTTCCATCCAACAAGGACATTGTGTATCTCTCTGGACCCAGTCGAGTCGTACGTTTGGTTCCATAGACAGGGCAGGAAGCTGAGCATCAGGCCATGGGCAGATGGCCCAAAACTTTCATGTGCACAGAAGCTAGCGCTGGGGCTGAAAGCTATCCCATGGGGCAAAAACAGGATGAATGTTAACCAGGGAAGGCCTAGCACAGCTGGTCCAGAGACAGAAGAGAGACTGGGGAGCAACCCACCGTTCTGCTTGTATGCCCAGTGAAGAGGGCAGGCTGAGGTCTCCGTTAGTCTAGACCATTGTCAGGGGCTTTGCCCCGGGTCACGGTGTGCTTTGTGCCTCTGACCTTCCACATAAACTAAGCATGCAGGAGATGCAGGCGCGTTCTCCCTCATCCAGGCTGCCTCCCAGAGCGTCAACGCTCCTCTCATCGCCTTGTCCTGACAAACTTCACTAGAATATTTTTTAAAATGCCGTTAGCCCCCGGAACTGGCTAAGAACCCTTTTCCTGGCTCCAAGCCGACACTCTCAGATCTGCAGCGTCCCCCTCCGACTCAGCGCGGAGGTGACGGGGTCGCACCCGCACTTGTCCCCGCTTTCCACGCCTCCTTCCTCCTCCCTCTGGCTCCCCTTCACTAGCCCCGCAACACACCTCCCTCGGCCTCCAGCTCCCGCGCGCCGCCTTGCGCGACTGGCGTGCGCCCGGCTCCGCGGAGGCGCTGCGGTTCCGCCAGGGCAGACGCGACGAGCACCGCGAGGGCCACTGGGCGCAGCTGCTCCGGCGCAGGGAGCCGGGCTCAGCCCCGGCCTTACGAGCACCGCAGCCCTCACCCACCCCAAGCGGGCCTGGGGGGCTCCGAGGGGCGTACGGAGCACAGAGTGCGCGTCGGGCTGGGCCCCGCAACCCCCGCACAGGAGCGCGGGTTCGGCGCGGCAGAGCGCCGGGCATGGAGTCAACCCAGGAGCCGGCCCGGGAGCCCCCGGCGCGGACCCGGCCGCCGCCGCCCCCAGCCGCGCGCCCTGCACCTGCTGCCGCCGCGCGCCCCGCACCTGTCCCCGCCGCGCGTCCGGCTGCTGCCCCCGGCGCGCCCAGGCCGCGCTCGCCCGCGGAGGCAGAGGGCCGCGGTCCCGAGGGGGTGCTGCGGCGATCGGGGTCGGGCTACGAGGGCAGCACCAGCTGGAAGGCGGCCTTGGAGGGTAAGCGACCGGTCTCCTGCCCTTGCCTCCCAGTGACGACCCCGTCCTGGACCTGGGGATCCTGGTCCGGTCACAGTCACCTTGATCGTTCTCTCGGAGGGGAGGGCGGGGAGCGCAGCGCTGGGACTGGGAGAATTTCAGGGCCAGCGCCACTTTGTGGAGGCAGCGCTTGTCGGCAGGCGGGCAACCAGAAAGGTAACAGGGAGACTAGCCCAGGTCACAACCTTGACCCTGGCCCCTTGGCTAACTTCCCTCCTCCCCCATTTTTTTTTTTTTTTTTTTGAGCTTGGGGGCCAACCTGGTGCTCCCAACCTTTGGTTTCTTACGCGGGAGGGAGGACTGTCGCTGCCCAGCACCCACCCCACCCGCGCTTTGGGAGCTGGCTTGAGTCTGGTAGTGGAGATAGTTTGAGCGAAAGCTATAAACCCCTGAGGTGGTGCTGGGTTCCTGGGAGGTGGCTCTAGGAGGTCTTGCTCTCTAGGTTGGGTTGCTCCACCCCCTTGCACCAGATGGGCTCAGGAGGTGACCTCTGACTGTCCGGGAAGCAGTAACCCAAGTGGGAGGTAGGGTTCAAATTCCAGCTCGCTTAGGAAACTTGTGTTGGCTGCTGCTGGTGTGCTTGTGGGAGATGGAGTTGACAGGAAAGGGGTGGGGGTGAAGAGAAAGAGAGAGAGAGAACCTGTGCCAGCTCGTCCTCCCAGTGCTTCTCAAGGGGCTTGTTGGACCCTACCCCCAGCAGGCCAAGGAAGACCTGGGCAGCATTAACTGGGGAGGCTCAGTGCCTGGATCGCCTCTCCTTAGGGAGCAAGTGTCAAACAAGGAGGGCTTCCTAGAGTACATGGCAGGAAGAGGAGAGGGGGGCCTGGGAATTGCATGTTAGGTGTCCTGTGGTGATAGCTAGCTTGTCTTGTGTTGAGTGTTAAACCGTATCTTGTCCACTGGGGCCAGATGAGGAGGAATGAGTCAGAGTGGAGAGGGTCCAGACCCTGAATGGCCACCTGGGCTTTGCTACAGTTTGGACTTTGTTCTGAAGGGACTGTGGAGGGGCCGAGATGGTGGGTCTGCCCCTGTACCTTTGGGTGGTGCGAGGTCACTGGGGAGGGGAGGGATGTTGCCAAGATCTGCACTGGGAAGCTCGGGTCGGCTGGGGCCGAGAGAGGTGGCTGTGTGGGTTGGAAGGGGAGGCAGACGGGCAGGTGGCCAGATGCTGGTTTGGGGCAAAAGAGGCAAAGGTGTAGCAGCTGCGGGTGGAAGGACCAATATCTGGACCAGGAGGGATTGGGTGAAAATAGGTGGATCCAAACTGCTCCTAACTGGTGGCGAGATCAGCCCTGGGGGGCCGAACTCACCTTCTGTGGTTCCCTGCTCACATCTGGCCATATGGAAATGCTCCTGAAGGTCTACACTGCCTGTAACCCTGACCCCCAGTGGCTCCTGCTCACTGGCACCCTTGTGTTTCTTGCTACCCTCGGTGCTGGGCTTACCCCCTATTGTCTGGCTGCAGGAGGACTGTGCTTGCATGGGAAAGCACCTCAGAGGTGCCCTCTCCTGTAGGCCAGCCCGGTCTCCCCTGGCCCATAAGGCTCTCTGTCTGGGGCTCCATGACCCGTGCCTGTTGCTTTTTCCCTCCCTAGATGCTCCCACTCCCTCCCCAGCCTCACAGCCTGCAGTTCTGGGTGCCAAGTTCTGTGAAGTGCTCTGGACGTCTCCCATCAGGTAGCAGGCCTCTGGGGGCTGGTGCTGGTGCTGTCCAGGGTGCTGCCGTGCGGCTCAGCCCTATGCTGCTCCCTATTGGCCAGCACACAGCCTCCCACTCTCATTTATCCTGTCTCCATCATCCGGCCCAGCCTGGGCCTGAGCACAGTCTAGCATCTACTCCACTGCTGTGGCCAAGGTTTTAATTTAATTAAATTTTTTATAAAGCTATACTTATTGGAGAGGCAGAGTTGTATGGAAGGAGGGAGAGAGAAAGGCAATTAAAAAAAACATTTATTTATTTTTATTTTAAAGGCAGATTTATGAGAGAAGGAGAGACAGAGAGGGAAAGATCTTCCATCTGCTGGTTCACTCCCCAAAGGGCCACAACAGCTAGAGCTGAGCCAATCCAAAGCCAGCAGCCAGAAGCTTCTTCCGGGTCTCCTATGTGGGTGCAAGGTCCTTAGGTTTTGGGCCATTCACTGCTTCTTTTCTCAGGCCATAAGCAGGGAGCTGGATGGGAAATGAAATAGCTGATATATGAACCGGCACCCATATGTAATCCTGGTGCTTGCAGGGAGAGTATTAGCCAATTGAGCCATCGTGTTTGGCCTGAGAGAGATCTTTAATTAGCTGGTTCACTCCCCAAATAGTTGCAAGGGCAGGAGCTGGGCCAGCTTGAATTTCCTGTGGGTCTCCCACATGGATGGATGTAGCTACTCAAACACTTGGACTATCTTCTCCTACCTCCTCAAGCCGTATGCAGGGAGTTGGAAGTGGAGCAGTTGGGACTGGAACAGTGCCCCGTATGGGATGCCGGTGCTGCAGGCAGAGGCTTAGCTCACTCGGCTACAGCACCAGAATGTTTTTGAAATAGTTTACGCCACAGTTTCCTCATCTGTGGTATCTGGGAATGATTTGTACGTCCCAGGGTGACAGACATAGGCCATGTGCGCAGTGAAACCTCTTCCCAGTTCCTAGGGCTGGCCGCCTAGAGAGGCAGGCTGTGGAATGTGGGTGATGGATTGCTGTTTTGCCTAGTGTAAGGCTTGTCCTACCCCAAAGTTGGTGGCGCACAGTGACACACCCTCCATGCCATGAGACACCTGCCTATTCTGTGGAGCCAGGACTCTGCTTAGCCCAGCACCTGTCATTAGGGAAATGGGACACTTCTTGCCTTGGCCGAGCTGAACACTCCTAGGGGTCCTTCCCATGTGCTGAGCACTTAGTCAGCACCTACTGTATGCTGACCTCATACTGAGGCCCTGCAAGGTAGCTGTGTGGTTTCATTGTCACCTGTCCCCCTTGTGGCAGGTGGGTGAATTCCCTGTTTGATGGCTGAAGCCATGCCTTAGGGTTTGTTGGGAGGCCCTGGTGACAGTGACATGAAAGCTCTCACCCTTTTCCACCCCTCATCAGGCCTGGGTGCAGAAATTAAACAACGGGTCTAACACTTGTTGCTAGGCAACCTGCCACTCCCAAGGTAGATAGAGGCCCCCTTCCGCACAGGTGTAGGGCATTGGAGACCATCTTCAATCAGAAAGCGGGGAGTGAGCCTCTTGTCAGATGGACAGTTGGCTGTGTACATGGACAGCTGAGCATAAATTTATTAGCTCTGTCTCTCCCGGTGGGTGAGGGCCTCTCCATCTACCGTAGCCTGCAGGGAGAGGCTGGGAGAGTTGATCCAGAGCTCCTGTGTGGGGTTCTGGGTTCTGGAGGTGACTTGAGATGGGGGTGTTTCTGGCTCCAGAGGGGCAGTGTGGCCTGAGAATCAGGTAGAGGGGACATGGTGACTCGGCAGACCACAGGCTATAGATTTGTCCGTCCTGGCCGATTCTGAATTTTTAATGTTGAAAGTCTCTTGATTAGGCAGCAGCCCACAGCTTCCTGATGAAAACCACACACGCGCATTTAGAAAAGCTTCTAAAATTTTAAAAAATGACTGAGCTCTCCCTTTGATAGTTTTTCATAGTCAGGATTGTGCTTGCCAGGCTGTTCCCCGGCCGGCTTTGAGACGTTGGCTCAGGGGGCCTTGTTGGGGTGTGGACACGAATATAATGGGACGTTTGTCTTGCTTTGGGAGTTAGGTTTTCTTTTTTTTTCCCTTCCAGCTATTTTTTTTTCTAATATTAGGCTACATCACACACATTTAGAAACCTAAACAAACAGAACCCTTAATCCCCATCAGACATGGGGAGAGATTATTGCATAGTGGGGATAATGATAGTTTTGGTGGGAAGTTGAAATGATTCATCAACAAGATTGGTTGAAGTCCTAACCCGTGGCACCTTAGGACATGATCTTGTCTGGAAATCTAGTCAATGGCAGACATAATTACTTCAGATGAGGCCAGACCAGAGCCGGGCAGGCCTCCATCCAGTAGGAATGTCCTTCTGAGGGGACAGGGGCACAGGGGAACACCACGTGGTTGAGGAAGGCAAAGAATGGAGTGACATGACCCACAAGTGCCAAGCTTGGTCAGCAGACCCTGGAAGGCAAAGGGCAGGCAAGGAAGGGGTTCCTCACAGCACCCCCAGGACAAGACCTGCCATGCTGACACTTTGCCTTTGGACTTGTAGGCCCCAGGCCATGGGAGGTGGTAAGTCAGCCAGCATGTGGCCCTCCGGGAGAGCAGCCCAGGGAGAGGAACATACCACTGTTTGGAGTTGTCTGGACCAGCTGTCCTACTGGGTGAAGATGGATGCTGAGCAAGGAATGGGCAGGCCCTAGTATCATGTACTTTCGATACCCACAATGAGGTGTACTTTCTGGGGGATGAATGAAGAGGAACCTTGACCATTTAAAAAAAATTATTGTTATTCGATAGGCAGATTTACAAAGAGAAGGAGAAACATCTTCTGTCTGCTGGTTCATTGCCCAAGTGTTTGCAATGACCAGGGCTGAGTTAATCTGAAGCTAGGAACCAGGAGTCAGGAGCTTCTTCTGGGTCTCCCATGTGGGTACAGGGTCCTCAGGCTTAAAGTCATCCTCTACTGCTTTCCCAGGCCACAGGCAGGGAATTGAAAGGGAAGTAGAGCAGCCAAGACACCAGCCAGTGTCCATGTGAGATCCTGGTGCATACAAGACAAGGATTTAGTCACTGAGCCATTGCAACCAGGTCTAGAACCTGGTCATTTGATGCTGAGGATCTATATATAGTTTCCCCATCCTGCCAAGGCCCTAAAAACTCAATTGGCGGAGGCTGTTGTCACTGCGTGTAGCTAGGTCCTCCTGAGGTTTTCTGAGTCCCTGTTGGCCTCGTTGCCTCTGTAACCTCTGTAACCCGATGGGCAATGGGCAAGTCCTGAACTTGGGCCTTCAGAGGCCAACACAGCCCAGTGTTGGACAGCAAAGGGATGCCACCATGTGATTGGGTCTCAGGTGGGCCGGCAGGGCGTGTGGTGGGATAGGTGTGTTAGGGCCGCAGGTCAGCATGCTGGCATGGTGTGATGGTGAACCAAGCTTGTGGATTCATTAATATGCTTGAGTCCTGGCTGGGTGGAAGGGTAGCATCCCAGGCTGGCATGTGTGCCGGAAGTCTGGCTCTAGGGTTCCCAGTGGGCAGGCAGAGCCTCAGGCCAGCACACCACCCCACCAGAAGACTAAGCTGGGGAACACATGTGCTCGTGGATACGGGGGCTGTGGATTGATCAAGGAAGGAGGCTAGGATGTGTGAGAGGGGATCACTGAGGGAGCAGGTTACAGGTGAGGAATGACTTCTCGGGGACTTCTGCTGACAAGGCCACTTTTACTTGCATGTGAGTGGGCTGAAGCCAAGTGGTTTGGAAGAGGGAAGCTAGAGGATCCTTCTGGGTAAGACTGATGTACCCACCCATGTGCGAGATCTGAGTTGGGCCAGGTAGCATTGACCCACCACTGACCACCGCCCACTGGCGGATAGTAAAGTTAGAGCTGGGGACCTACCTGGTAGGGTAGAATCACAATATTCACCAGTGAGGTCATAACAGGGATGACACTAAACAGCACATGAGAGAACCAGGTCTGGGGACAGATATTGTGGGAGATATGTGGGCTCATCCCCGGGGAACTGTAGTTTCCACTGGTTTGCTCAAGAGCTGGGGTGAATGATAGGCTGAACTAGGCATGACCAGGGAACCCCCTAACACTCATGGGTACTGGGGTTAGGAACAGGTCAGGCTGATCCAGGCCTGCAGTTGCACCTGTAGGTGCATCCAGGAATAGGGTGTGGAGTGGGCCAAGCTGCAACATCCACCAGTACACAGAGGCCAAGACAGAGGGGGCAGACTATGTTGGGTAAGGGCCTAGCACCCACTGGCACATGTGAGATCTGTGCCTAGGAGTGGGCCTGTTGGGGGATCTTAGATCTTGGGGAACTCCCCTGGTGGACTGTCACTCCTGCTGATAAGTACCTGAGTCAGGCCTGGGTATTGGTCAGGCCAGGCAAAGCTGCTCTACTTGTCAGCAAGTGTGTGGACTGGTTTGTGGGGAGGTAGAAAGGGAGCAAGGAGCAAACCTTAGCACCCTGGCATTTGCAGGAGCCAGGATGGAATGCGGGCCACGCTGGGCTAGGCTGTAACATCTACGAGTTTGCATGAAAGCTAGATATGGGGGGAAACTGGGCAGGGCTAGGTTGTAGCACCAGCCAGTGAGAGTTGGGACGGGGTAGGCCAGGCCAGGCTGCAGCATCCAATGTCAAAGGCCAAAGGGATGGGCTATGTTGGGCTGGGTCAGAGTAACCACTAGCATGTGCAAGATCTGTGGCTGGGAGCAGGCCTGGTCAGGGTGGTAGGGGGTGAGGTCAGCTGGGACTGTGGCCTTGCCTGAGTGGTGGGGCTAAGGAGAGGCCAGAAAGCCTTGCATGTACAGGTAGAAAGGTACAGGGGCCAACTGCAGAAGTACAACAGAGCCACGCTGTCTCCCAGCAGTTTCTCTCGCAGGCATCCACCCCAGGACTGAAAGCAGAGTCGCTATGAGAGAACTAGTCATAGCTGTGGTGTTGACAGTGGCCACCAGTGAACGAGTGGATGACTAGAATATGGTGCAGCCACACAGTGGGGTGTTAGGAAGCCATACCAAGGAATGAAGAACTGACACCCACTGCACCAGAATCAATCTGGAAAACACTTGCCAAGTGATGCCAGCCAGGCTGACGGGCTATTCACATGAAATGGTTAGCACTGACAGCCTCAGCGAGATGGAGACAGAAGGGTGACTGCCGGCGCTGGCAGTGGGCAGAATGGGGAAGTAGCTACTTTGGTGGGTACCAAGAGTCTGTCTGGGAGGATGGACAAGTATACAGATAGTCACCAGATGAATGCTACCAGATGAATATGCTAAAACGGCTTGACCCTGTGTTGGAGCAAGTTAAGTTGTTGCTTGTGTTGCCAGCATCCCACGTGAGTGCCAATTGAAGTCTCAGCTGTGCTGCTTCTGATCCAGCTCCCTGCTAATAGGAAGGCACCTGGGAAAGCAGCAGAGGATGGTCCTAAAAGCTTGAACACCTGCCGTCCATGTGGGAGACCTGGAAGGAGCTCCTGACGCTTGGCATCTCCTGGCCCAGCCCCAACCGTGGTGGCTAACATGAGAGAACTTGCAGAAGGAATACTCCATCTCTCTCCCTCTCTCTGTAACTCTGTCTCTCAAAGAAGTAAAAAATGGCTAAACTGGTACATTTTATGTTGTATATATGCTACTGCAATGAAAAAAAAAGGCTATTTAAAGTCTAGAAGAGTTCCTTAATGAAACATAAAATAGAAATGCTGAGTGATGCTTAAAGGCAAATGAAAGGGAGGGTCCAGCACACCAGGAGAGGTTTAAGATGGTGTAGGAGTGGGTGGGAATTTAACAGGAGCCAGTGGAAGAGGAGGACTGGAGGAACAAAGCTGCCTATGCGGACAGGATGGGGTCTCTTAGCCGTGTGGGTATGACTGAAGGCTGGGACTATGCAGAGTGGCAGCAGGAGGGGGTGGTTTTACTCCACCAGCAGATCCTGGGTGCCACTCAGCAGGTATCTCACCACTGGGGCTAGGGGCTGGCAGTGGTCAGAAAGTGACCCCTTTCTCTTCTCCTCAGACACCACCACGCGGCTCCTGCTAGGGGCCATTGCTGTCCTTCTGTTCGCCATCCTCGTGGTGATGAGCATCTTGGGTGAGCTTGCATGCCAGCATCTGTGCCATTCTGCTTTACACATCTGGTCCGAAGCACGCCTTAGCCAGGTCCTGAGCACAGTCCTGCGGGGAACACAGTGAGTAGAAAGTGCAGTGCCCACCGGCAGGAAGGATTTAGCTGAATGGAATACACTTGACCACACATTTTTTTCTCTTAGTATTTTTCCCATCTTTTTTTTAATGTTCATTAATTTATTCATTATTTAAGAGGGAAGAAGAAAGAGACAAAGAATGAGAGAGATAGCCTATCCACTGCTGATTCCCCAAATGTGAGCTGGGGCAGGCTGATGCTAGGTGCCTGTAATTCAATCAGGGTCTCTCATGTGGGTGGCAGAACCCTCAAGTGCTTGGGCCATCACCTGCTGCTTCCCCGGAACGCATAGGAGCAGGGAGGTGAAACTGGAAGCGGAGCTGGAACTCAGACCCAGGCCCTCCGACAGGCTCTGTAGGCGTCCACAGCAGTCTTAACTGCTAAGCTCAAAGCCTGCCCCACACATCCCTTTGATTAAGCTATGTGGGTGAAGTAGAGCTGCTACCTCGGTGTTGTTTTTTAAGAGCTGGGAGGACTTGGGACAAACCCCGAGTGCACTGGGCAGAATGCTGCTTCTTGGAGGAGGTGGTTTGTGGATGAAGGCCTTTCCCCAAGAACACACATTTAACAAACGTCTGTGGGGTCCACTAGCATCTTAGGCCCCGCTCTAAAGAACTAGCAGTGGGAGGCAGAGAAAAAGGGAGAGAGAGAGAATGAGAATATGACACCGTCTCCTCTGTCCAGGCTGAGTGCAGTTACCAGAGGTAAAATTGCTCACTGACGTTCAGGGGAACACATGGGCTTAATTCTGAAGAGTGAGTAGGAACTTCCAGACACCAGGAGGAAGGGAGGAAGAAACTGCCTCTACCCACTTAGGTTCAGAACCTAGGGGCCCGCAAATTCAATCTACAAAGACAGAGGAAAAAAAGGCACACAGAATTTTTATTAACATTTGCATTCACTGAAGCTTACAGAAAGAAGTTGAAGCCAAAGAAACACCTAGACTCAGGGGCTCATATGAGGGGACTTCAAAAATTTTTTGGAAAAAAGCAATGAAAACCTAAGTTGATTTTGATGCAAATCTTTTTTTTTTTTTAAGATTTATTTTATTTTTATTGGAAAGGCAGATAAACAGAGAGGAGGAGAGACAGAGAGAAAGATCTTCTGTCCACTGATTCACTCCCTGAGTGGCCTCAATGGCTGGAGCTGAGCCAATCCAAAACCAGGAGCTTCTTCCGAGTCTCCTACGTGAGTGCAGGGTCCCAAGGTTTTGGGCTGTCCTCGACTGCTTTCCATGTGCAAATGTAATTAAAAAAAAAAAAACAAACATGCATAGTTTACCTGAGTTTCATAGTATGTGTTTTTTTTCCTGAGTTTTTTGAAGTTCCCTCAACATGTCTTTTTAACAAAGGCAAGAGAATTTGGGCTTCAAGGGATGCTAAATAGTTGGACAGTGACAAATACTTGAGGGAACTGGCAGAGAACGGAGGCTGTTAGTAAGATAATGCAGACCGATCTCCCTGGCACAGGACAGGAGGGGTCGTGTGGGGTGGTGTCTTCTTGAGAGGGACAGGGATTCACTGCTTGGAGGCAGACGCAGAGCGGGCAGGGAGTTCTGCCCACATCTGGCCATTCACAACTGCCTTCGATTCAATATAGTCCCTGTTCCCGGGTGGTGGGGTGGGCGTCCTCTGGGAGAGTATGGCACATTTTGAACTCCATAAGGCATCAGAACAGTGTACAGGGGAGAGGTCGGAGGGCCTCAGAGTAGGGTGTGGGACTTGGCAGAGATAGAACAAGTTAAAAAGAACAGGGGAGGCTGTCTGAACCGGGAACTTGGCTACCTTGATGGAACCTAAGCCAGTGTGTGTCATGGGTTCTGAGGCACTCTCCTTTAAGCTTTGAGAAATTCCCTAAGACTGGAGGTAAAATGCTTGAATTAGGAAAGAGTCTGTTAGCAATATTGTTTCCGAACAAATTATTCTTTTAAGACTTGCAACATCAGTGGGGAGTTTGAGAGTATGCAGGCATGCATATAGAGGCCACTGGGGCCAGCCTGGATTGATTCAGAAAAATGATTTTGAATTAAATCTGCTTCTTCCTTTTATCCTGTCTCACGGTTGGGAGTTCAAGTTCAGGTGTAGACACAGCAGTGGGTGATGCTGGCAGACCTTGATGGAGTCTTGTAGGAGATCCTTGTGCAAAGACAGCTGAAGGATAGCTACGCCATGGCCGATTCTCCCAAGTAGTGCTTTTCCCTGGAAGACATGGCCAGGGAGTATTGATTAATTAATTAGTTGATTAATTAGTGTCCACGTGGCTGCAGGTCCCTGGGGTCCGAGCACCCTGTAGATTTGGCTCTTGGCTCTCTTCTGGTCTCTATGTTCATTAATCATTTGTAGGAAAACAAAACAAAACAAAAATGCTTTCTGGATTTGTAGCTGACACACTCCCAGGACACTATTCCCTAGAACAGATGAAACCACCCCCCTGGGAAGAACAATCAAGATGAAAATTTGTCTTTAAATACTCAAATGATGGCCAAAGACAATTGACAGTCACCTTGAAGAAATTCCTTAACTTTGGGCTTCAGAAGTGGATTCTGCATGTTAGGACGTGAGCGAGGTCCAGTGTGGAGACAGATCCTAGGAGTATGGATCTGTTGCTTCTAGCAGCAAGGCCCTTTGACAAACCTGATGGCAGCTCTGGACTTGCTTTCAGGCGAGCGCAAGTAGGCTCGGAGCAGTCTGCAGACCAGCGATCCTGTGACAGCTGTGAGTCATGATTGGGGTCACTGGTGCTGGCAGAGTGTCCTGCTGGCCATGTGAGGAGTGGCAGGGAGCAGGCAGGATGAAGAGCAGACCCTGAGGGGGAGGGCCTGGGAGAGACCCAAGGCAGGGGATCTGATGGGAGGTAGAAGATGGAGCAGGTATGCTCCACGTCACTCCTGAGGACAGACGCCAGGTGCAGGGTGCAGGAGAGCAGGCTGGGAGTCAGCATCTGCTAGGGACTTCCAGCAGCTCCGTGGTGGGGTGGGCTGTGTTGCTAGCTAACGAGGGAGGACATGGTTAAGAAAAGCAGCTCAACCATCTACAGACGCAGAGGTTGCGTGACTTTCAATTCCCTTCCGCATGAGCTTGGGGGCATTCTATGCTTTGGGAAGCTCAGAGAGATGGTAACCCAAGAGCTAACATGCTGCTGGTTCCTCTCAAGGTGTGAACCTGTCAGCCTCTCCCTTACAGGAGCTCTCACTGAAGGGCCCCAAGGGCAAGGCAGGTGGAAGGAATCGCAGCAGGTGGAGTGGGTCTGGGGGTAGGGAGAGGCATGCCATGGGTCCTGAGCCTTCTGCTGCCTCCCCACAGCTTCCAAGGGCTGTATCAAGTGTGAAGCACCCTGCCCAGAGGACTGGCTGCTCTACGGAAGGAAATGCTACTTCTTCTCTGAGGAGCCAAGGGATTGGAACACAGGCAGGCAGTACTGCCACACGCATGAGGCCGCCCTGGCTGTGATTCAGAGCCAGAAGGAGCTGGTGAGTTTCCCAGGGTTGGGGTTGCAGGCTGCTCAGCACCCCTGCCCCTTGGCTCCAGGGAAAGCCACCCCAAACTTACCCCAGGAGCCTGTAGTATCCCTCCATGATGCATCTCCAGAGCCAGCAGCCACTGCCCATGGCATGGTGTTCAGGTGAGTCCCGTGAGATCTGAGTGGATCAGCTGGCAGCCATGTCCATTGTCAAGGCCGCTGGTTTTAACTCAAGGCTGGTTGACTCAGCTAATGCAGTGAAGTGTGGGAATTAGAGAATATGAGCATGCTTGTGAAATGCTAAAGCAACACGTCATTTTCTGCTGATCCACTCTCTCATGTAACACCACAAATGGTTTGGTCTCTCGACCAATGTTATGGCACACTGAACCAAGCTGCTGCTGCTGCTGTAATTAAAAAAAAAAAAAAGACATGTTAAATTTTAATTTAATCCATCTGTTGGTTTACTTCATAAAGGCCCACAATGGCTGGAGCCTGGCAGGTCCAAAATCAGGAGCCATGAGCTTTTTCCAGGTCTCCCACAGGAGTCCAGGGTCCCAAGGACTTGGATCAACTTTTGCTGCTTTCCCAGGTACATTGGCAGGGAGCTGGATTGGAAGTGGAACAGCTGGGACTTGAAACAACATCCATATGGGATGCTGGCACTGCACATGGAGGCATAACCTATTCTGCCATGGCACTGGACCCAGCTATTTGTAATGTTAACTTCCTGTGTTGGAGATCTGATTTGAGTGCCAGCTGTTCCACTTCCTGTCCAGCTCTGCTAATGCACCTGGGGCAAGGGAGTGGACCATATAGCTATAGTTGAGCTTCTGCCACTCATGCATAAGACCCGGATGGAGCTCTATAGACTCCTGGCTTGAGGCTAGACCCACCCTGATCATTGCGACATTGGGGAAGTGAACTAGTCGGGGGAAGATCTCTTCCCATTATTCTGTTAAAGAAAGAAATGTGAGGAACAGACATTTGTGACCCTGCACACTGGCTAGGATACGGCTTGGGCTGTCACATTCCACATCACAGTTTTCACTCAGTCCCTATTCCAGCTTCCTGCCAATGCACACTTTGGGAAGCTCAAGTTGTTGGGTCCCTATCATTTCCACAGGAGACTCAGATGCAGTTCCTGGATCCTGGGTTGGATCTGGTTCAGCCTTGGCTATTGTGGGCACTGGGGGAGTGAACCAGCACTGGACGATCTCTCTCTTTCATGTAAAATAAAATAATAAACGAAAAGTGAAAAAAAAATGGGTAATTATCTCTTGGCCATTTTGGATTTTGAACTGCAGTGGTGTGGTCATCCAAACTAGCAGATTATTTAAAAACCATTATATGTTGTCCTCCTGCTGCAGGAAAATGTCCCAGTAGTATGCTGCAGTTGGAGGGAGAACTCACCTGAAGGATCCAGCAGGTAGCTCCCGCCTCTGGGGCTTCCTGCAGGTCTGGTGTGCTCAAGGGAAGCCTGATGCAGCCAGAGCTGGGGCGGCACTCCAGAGCCAGGGTCTCCTTCAGGCTGTCAAAGGCAGGGAACCCCGTCTGAGCAGGGTGACTGCAGGGAATTCTGTTGGCCTGGCTGCAACTCCCTCAGGATGGAGTGGGGTATTGCTCACTCCCCCCATTTCTGTCTTTCCAGATTGGGTTGCTATTGGGGTGAGCAAGCAATCAGGAGATTACGTCTGACTCTGAGGTTTTTCCCTCTTTCCTGGGTGCAGGAGTTTATGTTCAAGTTCACGCGGAGGGAGCCCTGGATTGGACTGCGCAGAGTTGGGGATGAATTCCACTGGGTCAACGGGGACCCATTTGACCCAGACACGTGAGCAGAAGCTTCATCTTGTGATCGCCGGGCTTAGACTGGAGCAGCCCTAAGTCTCAGAGAAGCAGTTAGTTTTGTGCTAACTAGGGACAGTGGTCCAGAGTGTGTGACAGACACCATTCACACAGAGGGACTCACTTCTTTTTACCCTGTGGAGGCACAGCCCAGGCAGGTGGCCTTGCTTCACCTGCCAGTCAGAGCCCACTGGGGCCTGTGCCAGGCTCTGGTGACTCCCCCATCCCAGCAGTGTGGCTCCTCCACATCCTGTTCAGCCAGGAGTTGGTAGGAATGGAGAGCCAACACAGGTCCACATGGGATGTCAGTGGCCTCCTGGGCGATGCTGTGCTGGTTGTCCTCATTTAATTTGACCCATCTGTGTGCTGCATACTGGGCACAGCCAAGACGACAGCTCTGAGTATGCCCAGGGGGAACTGATCTGAGAGGACCAGGATGGGGACATGCATGGGGCATCCCCAGGGTGGGGTGAACAGGGCAGAGAGATGGCAGGGGGCTCATCTGGAGAGGAATTGTAGGTTCTAGAAGGAGTCCTAAGGTTCCCGGCTGCCCGCTGATGGGTGCATGTATTTGCTCTCTTTTCTCCTGGCCAGATTCACCATCTCGGGCCCTGGGGAGTGTGTCTTCGTGGAACCCACCCGGCTGGTGTCGACGGAGTGTCTGATGACCCGGCCCTGGGTGTGCAGCAAGATGGCCTACACATGAGGTGGGTCGGGCCAGAGGCCGCCCCTCTGCCCAGGCCCCCGGGAGGTGCTGGCCTCGCGTCCAGTCTCCAGTAGGGGCTGCCTGTGTTTCTGAGGTGAAGCAGCTGGGAGGATGATTTCTGCCACCTCGACCCCAGCTAGGGGTCCCGTGTCCCACAGGCAGGTCCTGTGGCTCAGCAGTTAACTCCTCTCTGCTAAGTAGTGTAGACATCCATCCCCGGTACACATGCACATGTGCCCAGGCTGACCCACACGCAGGCGCAGACGCGGATCCCTCTCCGGCTCAGAGTCAACATTAGCCTGCTCTCGAGTCCTTCCTCGGCCCCGCCAGCACCCAGCCCTTCCTTGCTTCAGCTCTGGTGCTTTGGGAAGGATGGGGCTGACAGAGATGGGGTGGCTGCTGGCACAGCAGGCCTGCCTTCCATGATGGTGCCTCTCCTGGTGGCCAGGGGGAGGCAGGCGGCAGGGTGTCCCTCTCACCTTGGCCAGCCCCCACCCCGCTGCATCAGCCTGCTTTGCCTGGCCTGGGGTTCTCAGGCAGGGCCCCTGCTGTGTTGGTGGTGCTGTTGTATTGGTCACTGATGGAATAAAGAGACAACTGGCATCCTGAGAAGTTTGTTGCTGTTTGTTGTTCTAGGGCATTGCTTGGGGGAGAGAGGAGTGCGGAGCTGTGGGCAGGGCTCTTAGGTGCCAGTCCATAGCATGGCAGGATAAGCCTCTACATGGGACAGCCACAGCCCATATCAGAGTGCCAGGTTAAGCCCTGGCACCTCTGTTTCCACTTCCTGCTAAGCTGCATTGGAGGCAGCAGATGGGGGCTCAGGTGCTGGGTCCCTGCCACTCACCTGGGAGTCACAGAAGTTGTTTCTGGCTCCTGTCTTTAGCCCAACTCAGATTCAGCTGTTGCGGTCATTGGAGAGTGAACCAGGTGATGGAAAATCTCTTCCTTTCCCTCTCTTACTCTGCCTTTCAAATAAATCAGTCTTTAAAAGAAAACGAACTTTGTCAAGGACACCGAGTTATTTGGAGTAAGGAGTGTGCTGCACTCTGGATCCGTCATTACTGTCCCACTTGACACAGCCCATGTGTGTTCTTCTCTACCATGTGCTGGGCACCACCCTGCCAGGCTCTGGGTTCCACAGCTTTACCCTCCGCACAGGGAGCAGAGGACATAGCTTAGAAAGTACCAGAATATTCTGGAACACAGCTGAGGCCCTGGAGAAAGGTGGGTTGGGGGGGTTGAGTGGGAGGGTCAGGTGGTGTTCATCATCTCAGGATGGGTGAGAGTTTGGGAGCATTTTCTGGCTTCTTGCTGGGTCTGCCTGGGGGAGGACATGGGAGCTGGCAGCTCCCTGGAGCCCATGGAGGTGACCCAGCTTGAGCCTGGTTCCTCAGATAGACACAGCCTGGGGCAGGTGTAGACAGGCCTGGGAGCTGAGCATGCGTCCTTGGGTCCTTCCCATCTCCAGAAGGTAGTTCATTAGTGCCAGCCTTTTGCTATCTTCTCAGCTTCATATAACGCTGCCCTCATGGTATGGCAATCTGTCTGCTTTCCAATGTTCTGTGAGACAAAGGCAGCTTGCAGAATGCTGTTTGAGTGTGTTGGGACCCCAGTGGAGGGGAGGGGGAAGTCAGAGGATGCAGCTAAATATAAAGCGAATTCAGGGAGAGGGAGTATCCAGCACACTGGAGGGGTATGTCACTGCTGCTGTTGCTCCCAAGTGGGCAGCTCTGCCTCCCTGCTGTGCTCTGGCATGGCCAGGTCCCAAGGGACCCACTAAGGGGCTCCCCTCAAAGACAGTGCACCTTGAAAACCAGAACACCTCGCTTGCCGAGGGGGCATCTCACATGTAACTCTCGCAGCTGGAAACTGCCTCAGTGTATCAGGAACAGTGGTAGCAGGCCCCTCGGGCCTCAGAGCTGTCCTTCAGCAAGACTTGGGGACCAAAGAAGCAACTGGGCCATCACCATTTGGACCCTATTTCTTGTGGGATTCCCCAAAGCCAGAAACTGCCACCTTTTAGGGTGGCAATCAGCTCTTCTGCACTTGGATTTGTCCTCAGACCATGCAACCATCTCAGGTAAGTTATCCAAGCAGGTGCCCAGCCCCCACCCAGAATCTTCAGTGTTTTCATATTGTCCCTATCTGCCAGACACTGGCACAGGGCTCTCCCAAGAAACATTTTTGAATTAGGACATGAGGTCACTCTGGCAATACAATTTCCCCCAAATTATACTTCTCACCTGTTTGCATCCAGGTCAAGTTATTTGCTGGGCCAAATTCCCAAGAAAACTCCCTTGTTTTCTTACTGACTTCTTTCACCCCCCCCCCAAGATTTATTTTATTTTTTATTGGAAAGGCAAATTTACAGAGAGAAGGAGAGATAGAAAGAATTTTCCATCCACTGGTTCACTCCCCAAGTGGCCCTAGTGGCTGGAGTTGAGCTGATTCGAAGCTAGGAGCTTCTTCTGGGTCTGCATTTTGGCAAGGTGGGTGTTCCAAGCTGACATTTAAAAAGACAGCACTACGTCACAGGAGTGCAGCAGGTCCAGTTCACCGGGGCTGCACTGTGGCACCTTGGGTTAAAGCTGCTGGCTGAAGTGCCAGCATTCCATATGGGCATGAGTTTGAATACAGGCTGTTTCATTTTCAATCCATCTCCATGCTAATGCACCTGGGAGAGCATTGCAGGATGGCCCAAGTGCTTGAGCCCTTGCACCCATGTGGGAGATGCGGAAGTTCCTGGCTCCTGGCTTCAGCTTGGCCTAGCCCTGAGCATTGCAGCTGTTTGGGGAGTGAACCAGTGGATGGAAGATTCACTCATCTTTCTAAATGCCTTTCAGATAGAATCAACCTTTTTTTTTTTTTTAAGGTAAATTCCTATGTATGTTGCAGCATGAATAAATCCTAAAACCATTAAGCTAAGTGAAATGAACCAGTTACATCTATATGGTTCTATTGATAAGAAATATCTAGAACAGGCCATTAAGAGAGACAGAAAGTAGAAGGGTGGTTGGTGGTGGGTGATGTGGAAAAGCCTGAGCAGCAGGACCTGAAGGCATCTGTCCGCAGCCCGGAGTGGCGTGAGGGCTGAGCTGGAGTAACTTCCGGAAGGCAGCATTTGCTCCAGGTGTGGTGCCGGGATAAAGGAGCGTGACAGATGTGTACAGTGAATTCAAACAGTTTAATGTAATTCCAAGACAAAGTGTGATTACATTTCTACACATATACAATATGCATATGTGAGTTTACAAATTTTAATTAATAACTCATTTCACCTCAGAGACCGAAAAATGATCAAAAAAGAAACTGTGAGTAACACGCTATAACGTAGTTCACCACGACGGGACTCCCCCCCTTCTCACCCTACAGTTAGTAATATTACAATTAAAATAACTATATTCTTCTATAATTTTTTTCTGTTAAAATCATCTCATAAATTTACAATGCTATTATTAGTTTCCAAGACTAATATAAATTCACTCCATTTTTCTACAACGAAAATGATTATTAATTTAGAAGCACACGACGTCAGGATGGAAAAACACAAGCAATTTTAGTAGCAAGGACTTGATCAGTTCAGAATTAGTTTCCTTGTAAAACATCCTAAAGCCAAGTAAAATATCCATTCTTATAACATACCTATAATATGAGACTAAGGAATAGGTTACATTTAGGTCTACAACACATTGGTTTGTCTTTTCAAAAAAAAAAAAAAGTAGACATTTATAAATAAAAAAGAAGAGAGGGACAATTCACATAGGAAAAAGAGGTACACGAGAAAATACTGTTGCACACAATAATTTTTCACACAGATTAACATGGATTAACACTTTTTATTACAGAAACCGTACAGTGAAGGAACACGACAGAGTCAAGGGCTTCCACAGGGTAGCTGAGATGGAGCTGAGATGGCCTGGAAGAGATGTGAGCTTGGGAGGGAACCCCGGTCCTTGGGGCTTGGGCCCTGGCCACTGCCCGGTGCATCTCCTCATTCTGGGGAGCGAGTCTCTCTATGCAGAGGGTCCTGAACGCGGGCAGTGGCCAGGGAAACGTTTCTACAGATCTGTTCATTCTATCCTAATGGATATCATTTTTGGAAAGGTGATAACAGTATCAGAGGCTGCAGCTCGAGATGTGTGGTCAACGCCAAAATGGGATGTAAAATGCTTGTCGTTCTGATTGGCTGCCCCCTTATCTATGCCCTTGAGGCTCCGGACCCAGAGAAGGGCAGGTAGCACCCTTCAAGGGCCTGGTACCAAGCCTTGCCGCTCCCTCCCCTACCCCATGCGAAGGAACAGCGTCTCACACAGGTGTGCTGGCCTTCGTACTCCAGGGCCGGCTTCAGCCTCTCCACACCTCCTTCTCCTCTTTCATAAAGCTATACTTGTCCTATCAGGAATTTGGTTTGAGATACTTACACACACACACACACACACACACACACTGGTTATCAGCATCTACATCTACACAGTGATCAACTATGCTAGAAGTTTGGCTGCCCCAAAGTTTGACTTGCTTGTCTACTTCATTTGGTTAAGAAAATACAGACAGAAGGTGAAGAGATGCTTTGGGAGCCAGAAATGATTGTGTCCTGGAAAATACACCAGGAAGCTTTCAATGAACACTAACACAAGAGCGAGCCAAGTGGGAGGGGGTTCCACATTCCATTCAGAAGTCACAGAAAGCTACCAAGTGTGGGCATGGTTAAGTCACTTTCCATTTCCCAAGTGTTTCCTTACAACCTGAGCTAAACTTTCTAGACAAGCAGTAGGCAAGCCACAGCCCCTGCCAGCCCAGCAGGGAAGTCTCTGGCAGCTGGCCTGACCTGACTGCCCGGGGGTCAAGTGGGCCCTTCCTGTTGGCTTGTGAGCTTTCTGGGGAGTCCAAGGTGCCTGGACATGGGGGCTGTGGGGATACAGAGGGGAGGTAGAGGTGGTCACAGGGACAGAGACCCAACACAGTTTGTGTGTGTGTGTGTGTGTGCGTGTGCGGGGGTGGGTTGGGGCAGGGAACCGCACTAGGAGAGCATTGGAAGGAAACCAGAACAAAGGATCAGGCCGCCCCTTCCCAGGTATGTTAGCTTTTCAAATGGAAGAAAGGGGTGGTGGTGGTTTGGCAGTTTCTATACCTCTAGGTTTTACAAACATACTATAGCCCCCAAGCAGGGATACACAATTCATTTGGCTGATTAGTGCAAAGGAAAAGACATGCAAACAGGAGCACAGAGGAGGGCGAGATGAGAAATGCTTGACAGTCACGTGTCTAACAAAACGCATGATTTCACTAAAGAGCTCCCTGGTCCAAGGTCCTCCCCAGTTTGGTTGGATGGGACCACAACCCAGAGACCTTAGCATCCTCCCAGCCGGCCGGTGGAGCCCTGCTCCCATCCCCAGTGTCTCGCTCTGACATCAGACGTCTATTTAGACTCCAGCTACCCCAGGAGCCAATCTCCTTCTCCTGCCCAGTGTCTGAGTAGAGTATCTGGCCAGTCCCCCGAGCAGGGCTGGGGCTGCTGGAGGTGGCATCTCCTCTCACATTGATTCATTTTAAATGAGTAAACAAATTAATGACAATGAACATGGGCCTGGGGTTGGGGAGGGGTATTGGTGGTGTTCTTGTTCTTCCCCAACCCCCAGAGACTCTGGTCAGGATGTTGCCAGGGACCCAGAAATAACAGCTGCTCCTTTGGGTCCGTGGAGTCTGGGTGCCTTTTGCCTGATGACCGGGAGTTTGAAGAAGTCATCAGTGAGCTACATATATGAACACGATGACAACAAACAGGCCAAGTTCCTTTTTTTTTTTTTTTTTTTTTTGCTGCCTTTTGCTGCCTCTTTCAAGTTGTTACCGGCAATGCCTCGAAGACAAGTGCTGGCTGCATGAAGGCACGAGACCTTCGTGGCCAGCCCGACTCAGCCATTCCTACTCTGGCCTTCCTCTGACGTCCTCTTGCCTTCATATGGAAACTGACAATGTGGGAAGAAACGCATGGGTCAGGCTACAGGACAGTTTATGGGAGAGACCTGCCCGCCTTGGGGAGACATGGGCTCCCAACTGAAGAGGCGGTCCCTGGGATCTCAAGGTGTCAGTGATACACAGAAGACCTCTTTAAAAGGAATGGTTTAAATATAAACTCTGAAACATGCTCATTAGGACGCAAAGCCAGAAGTCTCCTCAAGTCACCATGGTTACTCATTTAAAATGTGACTCTCTTAAAAGGCGAACAGCATTTTCCAGTAGCTAAAAACATACGCACTTTACACGTGTGATTCAACATCACATTGGATCACAACACAGAGATCGCCTTCTGCTTGCTTGGTTTAATTTCCGCTGTGAAGACGAACCACTTTCAGAACACACTTAGCAACCACCAGGTGAGCGTGCATTGTTCTTTTCAGCCCATTTAGAATCCATGGTCTTTGAAGCCCCAAGATCAAGCTGGCTACATGATTAAAAAAAAAAAAAATTAAAACCAGGATGAATGCCCACATTTGAGGTAATTATTGCCAGTAGGTCACAGTTTGTGTAAGATAATGTATCTAAAAGCTTTTACAAACAAAACAAACAAAACCAAAACTGAAACATCTATAGGTATTATGTCAGAATCTCAGAATACCCCTTGCCAACAACCAGGAGGAGCTGGGCTTGCTTCCAAAGGAGTTGGAAGTTCTAAAGATTCTAGAACTTGCGTAAACCACCCAAGAATTTAGACAAACAAACTTGGAACCAGTCAACAAAGAAGTTTAGGGAAAAAAGAAAAAAGCAACAGGAAGAACCCCCCCACCCCAATAACTGATTTCTAACAAATTCCTAACAAATGATCATAGATTAAAAAAACCAAACAAAACAAACCCAGAAGCACCAAATCTCATAGCGGATCTAAATTCTTGCCGCTCTTTTAAGCATCTGTGTTATCACAACCTCTTTTGTGGAATCCTGCAGTGGGTGGGGATTTGCCCGGTTTCTAAATGGTTGCCTCCTGCCTTCAGAGAGGGGTATCTGCCTCGAGAGAAAATTGTGTTCCTTCTTTTAAAACAATCATCTTGTCCTCCTTCTTTTTTAAATAGAAAGAAAAAAAAAGTGAAAAAGTTCCTGGACACTAGACTCACACATGGTACTTACAAATTTGGTGTGAATCCTGTGACTGGTCCTGACCAGGGCTGAAGAGTGGATCTGCCACAGGAATCAGAGCTGTCCTGGTATTTAACAAGTACAGTAAAAAATAGCATTTTGAAAAAAATATATACTTTTAGTATTGCCTTTCTAGAAGTAACTATAGGTGAGACAAAAGGTATCTTTTTTTTTTTTTTTTGTAAAAGAAGAAAACTTTTTTTTTCCTTTACTCTCTAAGAGTTTGTTGTAGCAGCATGGCTAAAGCTAGTTGGCAGGCTGGAAAGAAATCTAAATGGAAATCTACTGAGAATTAAAGAAACTCCCCTCCCCCCATCGAGATTCTTCACAGGAAGTCAAACTCACTTTGCTGCTTCTGCCTGTGTGCAGCTCGCACTCCTCTGCACAGAGTTTCTGCCGATGCCACAGGTTAGGGGTGGCAGGGGTGGGTGGGTGACACGCCTGAAAGGTCTTCTGTTGTACAGAAGCACAGAGGTGGTCAAGGATGGCTGCCACAGGCCCCATGCTGAAGCTGGGCAGCATAGGCAGGGGCCAGCCTGGCTGTCCCCTTCCAAGCTGTGTGTCCTCAGGGGTGGGAAGTGGTAGGGCTAGGAGCTCAGCAGGCCCAGAGCTCCCCCTCGGTAAGGGACCAACATTGCCAATCTCCGGGGCTGTCATAAAGACTCAGAGGAATGGAGACAACCAGTGAGCAATGCACAGTGTTTGGCACACGGGACATGGGAGTATCTTAGTCATTGGTCACAGGGCTAACAAATGAAACAGTCAAACAGAGGTCACATCCTGGTTAAAGGTCTGATGACAAAGAAACTGACTGGCAAGTTGAGGATTCTGGACCACTGTTACAATCTCTTTCCTTGATGCTCCCTAATCTGGGATGGCTGGGGCGGGGCTGAGAGGCTCTGTGTGAGTCTAGAGAAGGGAGAGCAGCCCACAGATACTGCTGTCCCCCACAGCAGGGGTCCAGTTACATCCCACTGCAGGCCTCTCCAAGGCAGTGGTGCACTCTCACAGCATCTGAAGGGAAGCACAGAGCTGCAGCCAGCTCTCTCTCAGAACTCCTACGGGGAAGGCACTGCCACACACACATACAAGTCCCAAGCACAGGATGCTACTGTCACGTATCGCCCCATGCCTGGAGGAGGTCTCTCTTGTGTCTGAAACCCAGCCTGCCATCTTCTGAGACTGGCCTGTGGAGGGGAGACGGCCAAGTGTTCAGGCATCAGAGAGGGCAAGTCCTGTCACCTGCAGCCCAGGAAGTGGCTGAGCTACCTGGTGGGTTGGCATCGCTCCATCCCCAGGGTGGCCCACCCTGTGACAGCAGCATTGAAGGTCACTACTCCTTTTCTCTCAAGAATATGAGTGCAGGCTTGAAATAAACACAATTCAATTATTTTAAGGGAGAGGAAAGACAAGGATGAATGGAGTGGCATCAGCAATTGTGTCATTATTGCCCAGAAAGGAATTAATGAGGGAAGGGGGTGGGGTGCCATTTGTCTATCTCTGGAGGTGTCTTTGAGAAGGGGTTCTTTGGCTAAAGAAAGGAATGGCTTTGCCTTCCTTTCCAAGGTGGTGGGGGGCATCTCTGGCCTGCTCAGTGGTGAGGCCTCCCCGCTGGATCTCTGCAGAAACATGTCAGAGAGAAACACACACACACACACACATACACACACACAGAAGAAGCTCAGCAAGTCCCTGGGGCTGCAAGAAATTGGGGCAGAGCCACTGGGCTGGTGCCCCGCACTCCCGGCCTAGGCCTTGCTGTTCACGGAGGGGACCTGGCTGTTGGCTTCTTGCAGTTTTTCATCTCAGCAGCTGCTCAGCAGGCCAGCAAGGGCAATAATGGTCCCCTAGGACCCTCTGCCCTTGGCACCACCAAGGAAGACCCTGGAATGCAAGCGGGACCCACGCTTGTCCTAGCAACCGGGAACCATCTTGTAATACTTCCTCAATCCTCCTCATCTCCTCCCTCCAGTTTTCCAAGAACATCTGCTCTACTCACTCGTCCACAACGCATACCACCCATGTCATCTGCCAGGAGCTCAACTTACAAAGAGGGTTTGCGATTCCCATCATGACAGCGAGCTGAAGGAGTTGTTAGCAGTGGGTGCTAATCTCCACATGTCACCCAATGTCTGACACCCTGGGGTTTTAGTACCCCAAAGAGGACACGGCCCAGCTGGTTCCTATGGCCTGTGAGCCCCTCCATTTCAGGACAGCCAGTGATGCAGACAGACCCACACTGGTGTGTCCAGATCCTTCTCCCTTTGAATTACCCCTAATCACATGCTGCCCTCCTGCCTATTGGCTTGCTCATTCCATTCCCTGGAGAACACCCCAAATGTCACAAAGTGTGACTCATTACAGAGGCAAGTGTGTTAACACCTGGCTGCATCAGTTAGAACTCAACATGCAGAAGCCACTGGACCTGTGGATGACACAGTGCCAATTGTTTGTCCTCTACATCCTGCCCTCAATCGGAACTGCCGTCTTCCTCGGGTGAGGCTCCTCCTGGGCCAGCACCGGCCTGGCACTAAGGCATGTGCCAATGTGGGTTGGGCAACGGTGGAGCCAGCCAGCTCCACTTTCTTCATTCACGGCTGGTGGTTTCCAGGTTTGGTGCACAGGATGCCAGCGCCCATTACACACAGCACAGAGTCCAGTGGGGGCAGTTGTGGGCCCTCGCCAGGCTCCCTTGTTGGTTAGCCATATCTGAGTAGCTGCTGGACTCCATTCAGGAACTCTGGGGTCTCACCCCACTTGCCACCCAGCGTGGCTCCCTCTAGTGGTGTGCTAGGAGCGAAGGGGACACAAGGCAGGCTGAGCAGGGAGAAGCTGGTGGCATGGTTATGGACTACAAGTAGGAGAGGGAAGCTAGAAGGTCTTGGGGAGGTGCCCCTGACCTGTCTGTTGCTCTCACTTTAGCTCATTATAGCCATGGGGGAGCCTTTTGCTCTGTGCAGACAGGTACAAGTCAGACTCCAGGTGTGCTGATGGGAAAGCAGCGGGGCTGCTGTGGGCAGAGAAGTTTCTTCCGTTTTAAGCATCAGCGATGTGGCAGGCCTAGGGTGCAGCTAGCAGATGTGAGAAGCATGGAGAAGTGGGGTCTGGGGTTCAAGAAGTCATGCAGGGGCTTGAAGACTCAGTGCTCCCCACCTCCGCCACAGCCATGAGATGCTTCATCAGGTCATGGGAAATTGGAAACTGGGGGAAACATATACAGCGGAGACCACCCTGCAGGTGCCTGGTAGGGGCTGAGCGCAGCCCAAGGCTGTGCTGCCTCTTCAGGCTTCCATGCCACAGTGCAGCTCCCGTCACGGCTCTTTGTGGAATACAAGTGACAAGGACTGTTTCCTTCTCGCCTGACAAAGCCGGACATCTGTCTGTCCGTCCAGTCTACTTGACATACTCACAGATACATCATAAAAGTAAGTTTAAATATTAAAGGGAAAACAGAGATACCTGGTATACATGTGCATTTAAAACCCTGACTAAAATATCAACACGATGATCATGATCACAATTACAACGGCAATAACAAAAATAATTAGTACAATATTATCTTTATGAGCAGCATGGAAGTTTCAGTCCTGATCCGGAAGAGGAAAGAAAACAGGCCAAAGAGTAAGAAGCCTCCAACGTAAGCAGACGAAAGACTTTTCTTAAGATGGTAGGAACATACTGTGTTGTCTTTCTTCCCTACAAGATGGGTTCTAGAAAGGGCTGGAACTGCACTGTGCTGGGGAGCCCAGGGTGCCCCCCAATAAGGCAAATTGAGGCTTATCCCTAGGTGAGACTGGAGCCCTGACTGGCAACTGCTGCCATCTGGCCACCCAGAATCTGTTAACAGGTGCTGTACAGCAGGTGGTTCTGGGAGGTCTCTTGCTCTCACCTCTTACAAGTGAACTCAGGTTAGGCACCCCCTCCCCATCTCTATGTAGCTGGTGTGGACCACGAGCCCAGGAGAGGGCACCTCCCTGCCTTCCCACCAGATCCTGACACGCTTAGTGATGCCACCCGAATAGCCTTCCCTCCCGGAGCAAGCCCTACAAATGAAGCGTTTCCAGTTTGGGGATCTTTCTCTTTGTGAGTGAGAATTGATGATGGAGTAGGGAGTGGAGGTGGGGAAGTTTCCAGAGTTATTTCACAGCTAAGAGCTAAGTGATGGCTTCGTTAACTAAATCAGGGTGGCTATCACTACAAAAATCTTTCACAGTAGCCAGCTCACAGGGACGGCAGAGTGAGGAGGCAAGCAAAGAGGATGAGGATGGAGCTGATGAGACAGGAAAGCTCTCTTTGTGCCTCGGAAGCTTGATGAAGGGGGTCCTGTGAAGACTGCACAGCGATGGTCACCTTCTGAGGCCGCATACCCAGCCTGATAGCCTCCCGCGTCCCTGTGTTTCACAATTGTTTACTATGCATGGAGGGCTCACTGCCCCACCAACTCCCCACTTCACCGGCAGTGTTTAGAGCCTGGAGTAAGCCCAGGACGCATGAAAGGAGCACACGAGGCCGGGGGCAGATTTCTTTGGAAATGTAACTGTCCCTTGGGAGGGTCCTCCCAGCAGGGCAGGGCCCCTGGGCCCTTGCACCTCCCGAAGCGTCCCTTCAACCTTCTGCCCACCAGACCCCTCCGATACTGAAACCAGAACCACAGACGTGGGTCACGCGTGAAGGAAGAACTCAACAGCAACTGGAGGATGGTAGTTGTCTATGGAGGGGAGGGGTCGGGCCAGAACACAGAATGTAGCCCCCGGGAGCTGGCAGAGCTCCCTGTATGAGTGCGGGACCAGCCTTCCTCCTTCCTTCCTCACTGGCCAGGCGGGAAGGAGGGGGAGTCCCTCTAGGTCTCTGCACATCTCCCATCCCCACCTTAAGCAGAAGTCAACTGAAAACCCCCAATCAATTGTTGCACATGCCTGCAATCATCAGCTCCCACGCGGCTCGTCCCACGGACTCTGTCCTTCCAGCCGCTGCCGGCTTCCCTGACATCCGTGAGCTGACAGCCCAGGGGAGACAACGGGCACGAGAAACCAAAGGGAGAAAGGAGAGACCAGAGTGAAACGTGTGACGACAGCACAACAGAAGAGCTGAGACTGAGCGGCGAGCCTCAGCCCTGGTTCTTGGAGTACCAGTGGAAGTAAACCCTTACACCGCGTCCGTCGTTTGCTAAGGCACTAGGAGGGAACGAGGCGGAATTGAGACTGCGCGGGCCGTGACAACGGTGCTAGGAGGAGCCGGGTAGGGTGGCCAGGGCCCCTTGTCTGGACCCGCCACATTGGTGACTTGCCTATGTTCTATCATTTTGTCTCTTTGTGCAATTACACGGAGGAATCGTCTATTGGTATCATCGGGGGGTGAACACAGGTAGAGGATTGGGGGTGCAGGGTGCTACATTCTACTTGGGCGTCCACCATGAACGCTAGCCCTACACTATGGGACTAGGGGCTGATTAAAAGAAGAAAGAAATCTTCGGGAAAAAAAAGAACCCCAAAGTTTGCAACACACATTAGTAATGACATTTGAGGCATAACATTGCTTAGGGATTTGTCCAGAGTGCTCAGAGACGCCGCCCGCTCCTCATGGGAGTGTGGGGGTGCGGTCTTCTCTCAATCTGGCTGGCCCCCCATCATTCCTGACAAAGCTTTGCCAACCCCAGCCCAATCACGAAATCAGCCTCCTCAGGCTACAACCATGACATTCTGGAGGGGGTGTCGACTCTGCAGAGGTCTGGAAAAATCCCTAATTCTCATGATTACTTAAAAATCTATTGGATTTCCACATGAGGTGCCCCTGACAGCAAAGTCTTCAATGTCAACTGCTGCCATATGAAAATAAGCTTTGAAAAGTTCACAGATAAAGTTCTTCTGACACTGGGGACCCCTTCTGGAATTTTCCTGTGGCTCTCTTCTTCTCCTTTCCAGTTTGGTGCAGGATGGGTATGTGAGCTGTGGTTTTTGTTGTTGACTTTTTTTTTCCTTTTTCTCTTCTTTCCTTTTTTTTTTTTTTAAATAAAAAGCATAGATTTCCCCCTCCTGAATCCCTTCCTTTTTAAAATGTTCTCTTCTTTGCTCTAAGTCTTCCCACTTCCCAGTTCAAGTTTCAGTTGCATCCCATCCCTGTCCCCACCCCCTCCCCCATTTGCATTGTTTGTGTGCGGTGGTGTCTTCAGTATAAAAAGCCAGCTCCTTCCTAGGTCCCGGAGCACCTGCCCCTCCTCTGCTCCCTCTGCAGGGCCCTCCCAACCCTCCCGCCTCCCCCCTCCTTCCAGTGTTTATATGTAAGGGTACTGGTTGACCTTGGCAGGGCTCAGTGGGTATCCAGTGTAGACGGTGGAGGCTGGAGAGGCGCTGATGTAGGTCTGGTGGGCAAACTGGGCCGGATACTGGCTGGGGTGGATGGTTGGAGAGGGCAGGACCCGGGGGCCCATGCTCACGGGCACCTGGTGGACGATGCTGGCCGGATAGGCAGTGTGCTGCACGGGATGGCGCGCTGAGCCTTGGGAGGCCACCAGGTGGGCCACGGTGCCAGTGGAGCCCAGGGCGGCAGGCGCCGTGTAGGTGTAGAGGTGGGGCTGAGTGGGGAGGTGGGCAGTGGCGGCGGCCAGGTGGGGATGGACGGTGCCATGGCTAGGGCTGTTGTGCGGGAAGGAGTAGGGCGCCTGAGCCATGGTGGGAGCGATGTAGGCCTGCTGCCGTCGGTGGCTTCCGGCACGGTCCGTGGTGACGTGCTGCTGGGCCTGTGGATGGGAAGCACTCAGGAGGGCTGCATGCTGGGAAGGGGGTGCAAGGGAAGGAGATGGCAGGGGTTGAAGAGGAGTGGTGGGCGTGACCAAGGATGCTTCCTTCTGTGACGCAGTGACAATGAGGCTAGGCTGAGTGGGGTGATTCCCAGGCCTGGTCTTCACCATGTGGACAAAGCCAGCAGCAAGGTTAGCAGGACCCAAAGGACTCCTGCTTTCTCACTTGTTGAGAAAGTTCTGGAAGCCTGGACTGGGAATCAGTGCTGTTTGGGATTCTCCCGGCTGTCTCTTACCTGGAGAAGCTGAGTCATCATAAAGGGTCAGAGGCTAGCACATTCCTCCCTGGATTGGGGTCTCTGGGATGCGTGCCTTGCCCCTACTCATCCGCACTAGTGAGTCGCATTGCAGAGCTCTCCCTGCTGTCTGACCTTCTGCAGGTGGGGGAGGGGGAACAATCTGTGGGCTTCTATTTTTAGCTCCACACCACATGTAGAGTGCTTGGTAACATTAGACAAGTCACTTTGTTGTCTGCTCTCCGTGACCCAGTGACAGCAACTTGCCCATGAGTGACCCAGCCTGGCCATAGTCATTGGGGTGTCACTTGGCACACTTCCTACTCCTGGCTGGGAGAGTGTGAGGGGGCCACTCCAGAGGCCTCCTCTGAGGCTCTTGGGGGCAGGTGCTGGGCAGGGATGAGGGAGGTGGGGGATAGGGAGAATGGGGCAGGGGTGGCAGCACCCCCTGAGGCTCTTGGGGCAGGTGCTGGGTGGGGTGGGGTGGGGTGGGGCTCACCTGGCTGAGATTCAGAGGCTGTTGCTGCTGGAAGTGGGGGCCTGGCCGCTGTTGCCGGTAGGCGATGGCTCCAGATGAGCTCCCTGAAGAGTGACCGCTGGTAGAGGTCACATTGTTGGAGGACTTGGACTTGTAAGAGGACACGTGGTGAGTGGTGTTCACTGTAGCTGCAAGAGAGAGAGGTCACAGGTTAGTAGCCTGGAAGTTGCTCCCTTCTCAAAGTGACCTTCCAGGAGAGGATGTGACCCACTTCCACACTGGCCTCAAGAGGTCCCCAGGCCCAGCAAGGTCGTGGCCTTGACCCTGGAACTGGCAGCTTTGATGTGTGTATTCCCTTCGTCTAGAGGGTGGGGGGTTGGGGCTGCAGATGAGGGGACGAAGCTAAGAAAAAGGGGGATGGTGCAGGAGGAGTGAAGTGAGCTGCCACCAGGCTGGACCTGAAGCTACCCTGTCCCCCGGACTCCTAGCCATGTGGCTTCCAGTGTCTGGGAGATGGCTGTAGATTCCGGTTTAGTCTCCTTGGTGGGCAGCAATGGGGATTCCATGACATTGTGCCTATTGGAGGTGTTCAGGGAGTGACTGAGATGAGCTACGGCAGCTGAAACAGCTGCTTGGGAACCCTCTGATCTATTCTCTTCACCTAGGGCAGGATGAGAGAAAGGCAGCCGGGCAAAGGCATGAGAGTTGAACATGCCCAAAACGAAGGACTCTTCCCTCAGCACTGACCAGAAGGTCCTAACTGGAAGAGCTCCCTCCTCCCTAGAGATGCTTTCTGGCCAGCAGATGGCACCACAGCCTGGGTGGGCCTCAGAGTGCACCTTCTAACAGGTGCCAGGGTGCTGCTGACACACTGTTGGTGGGTGGGCCACAGCCTCAGTGGCTGGCCAGAGACTGTCAGAGTGAGGCAGGTGACATACTAGGTAGGATGGCTCCTGGAGACCCAGCTAGGGACAAAGCACCTCTACAGAGGCTGTTTAAACCCATCCAACCATGACTTCCTGAGTTGCTGCCGTGTCGTGAGAGTAGCAGCTGGTGAGGGTAAGGAAGTGGAGATCGGGCAGCAAGGGGTGGAGAGTCACCTTCAGGTCAAGGTCATGCCCAGGTCAGGTGTCCAGAAGACCTGATGGGCAGGTATAGACAGGCCCAACGCTATGCTGAAGTGGTCTTGTGCTCGCCAAGTCTGCCCCTAGCGTTGTCCCATGCTCAAAGAAGGCAGTAGAAGCCAAAGGGCGGCTCTGCTTGACGGGATGAGGCCGAGCTGAGGGGGGAAGATCACAAGCCTCCCCTCCCTGCCCCGTTTCACCCTCCTTAGCTGACTTGAGCATGTCACTCATGGTGCCCTGCATTCAGTGAATCCTGGAATGCGTCCAGAATACGTCTACCAGCTGGATTTCTATACCACCACAGCTACAGTTCTAGGAGCTCCATGTTCTGCAAACCCGGCCAGACTTCCCTATTACCATCTGGTGACACTGAAGAATGACAGAGGGCACAGTTGCACCCGGGGGCTTCTCAAAGGCCAGGGTCCCTTGTCCTAGACTAGCAGGGGTAGGGAACCTTTTTTCTGCCAATGGCCAGTTGGCTATTTCACCTATCATTCATAGGCCATACAACATGATCAACTTAAAAATCAGCCTGCTATAGATTCACTACATTTTCAGACCTGTGTGCAGCTGCTGTGACAGGGCCAGACCACATGATTCTAAGGACCTTGTATTCCCCATCCCCATGAACTCGAGTTGAAAAACTTGAAAGAAGTTGATAGGTTAAAGAGGTTTCCCTGCGACAACTCCTTCTGGTCAGTTTCAGAGTTCAGGGCTCTGCACCTGTGAGCTCCCAGCAGCAGGGACTCCATGCGACAGGCCCAGGTGGGATGGTCACACTCAGGATGACGTTACAAGAGAGTGCCACCGTTCGCCTGCTTGGCAGCCTCTCTAGAAACCAGAGCTGCTTTTCTGGGACCTGTGTCTAGCACGGCTGCATGAAAATCAGCATGTAATCATGACAGACAATGTGAGAAGGGCCTTTGGTGCAAGGGACCTGGGGGAACCTCCACCGCATAGAAAGTCGCTGTGGATACAGGATGGTGTCTCGAGGACAAGAGAACCCATGTGAAGTGTTTGCCACGAAGGACGAGGTGGCAAGGACTGGTCATAAGATACCCTGAGGAGGTTAAGCTACATCTCTTGTCTGCGAGCAGCAAGGATCCAAAGCATTTCCCCTGGGGCTCGAGTTAGCTCAGACGAAAACAAAAAGCCTACAACAATCTCATAAGATAGCCCGTGGGGAGTCATGGTAAAACTGGTGGGATCTGGCCATCCTTGGGGTAGAGACTGCTCCATGTGAATGGATCATAAATAATAAACAGCAAGCCCTTGACTGAATTGGGGTGGATCGATTCTATTGCAGTTCTCAGAGTGATGGAATCAAAGGTTGTAAGGCAAGAGAGAATGCTGATTAACTGTTGACATGGAGAAAAATGTCCCTTCCCAGGCCCTGGCTTTGTCAGGTGAGCAGAGGGAAAATGGAACCGGGGGATAGGAGGCTGTGGTGGACGCTGGAGGCAGAAGGGAGCCTCGTGGTTCCCCCAAACCACCACCTGCCCCCTGGAGACAGAGGAAGGCTGCTTTGCTATGGAGGGTGATGATGACCTGAGCCCCCACATCTGACTGTGCCTTGGCATCTGGGGTCCCTCCCTGCCACTCACTGAATGAGAATCCCTAGAGGAGATGTCTCGGAATTGCCAGTTTTCTGGGAGAGTTCAGAGCCAGCCTGGCGCTGGTGCAGTATATCTGCATTTAGGGACCAGGACCTTGAAACCCAATGCTGTGGGCAGGCCAGACTCCATTAGACCCTCCCAGGCCCTCAAAATCTCAGGGGTGGAGGGCTTTTGTAGTCTCACAGTACGGTTAAACCAAATTGAAAAGTTGCCAATGTTGGTTAGAAGGAGTACTTTAGTACTCACTTAGCTATCAGGCCCCTGTGTTGGAGTTAATTCTTCCCCTGCATGCAGCAAAAATACTAGGCATACGTGCTGTTTGGGTCCTGGCTGTGAATGTCCCTTCTCTGTTCCAATTCTGACTTTCAGGGTACGTGATGGTTAACTGTGTTTAAGAAACATCATTGAGCTTGGGGAAGTTATTACTTGGGCCTGCAAAGTGAAGAGGTTAGGGTGTGACAGGAAGTGAGCTTGACAAGGCCTGGCATTTCACCTGTTATTGTCCATGTAGGGGCAGGAAATGAGAGCTGGGTCAGTGCAGCTGAGTCCTGAATTAGGGGGAAGGTGCAGAGGGGGCCGAGTAATCAACGTGGCTACTCCTCCTGCAGAGATGAACCGAGTGATGATGAGTTGGTGCTGAAGGTTGGTCTCCTAATGGCTAAACAGGGAGAAGGGGTAGGATTTTCTGGTCATGCCTTGCTCAGTCTTCCCCTGTTTGGAGAAGACCCCTTAGATCAATGTGGCCTCCAGTGTTTGAAGTAGGGGAGTGCTTAGAGGACAGATAGGCTCCACAGCCTGACCCTTGGAAGACTCAGCCCTGTGGGATTAGGTTAACCTCCCTGGACCTCCATGCTTTTACTGGTAACACCGGGGACACACTGGCAGCTAGCTACAGATAAGAGTTGTCATAAGCCTTAAATGAGTTAACATACAGACGGCTTAGCATGTAGCATCTAAATCTCAGGAATGGAGACCCTGGCACCTGAAGAGATTAGTATTAGCCATGTCAGCTACTGTTTGTGTCATTATCCCTGGATTCTGCCCCTTGTGGAAGCTGATGCTCAGGAGCAGGTGTCTGCTCAAGCTGTGACAACGGATTCCATCCTCCTGGAAACAGGAGATTGGAAGCCTGAGAATCACTTGCTCTGAGTCAGGCAAGGACAACTCCAGCGGTCAGCCATCTGGCTACTGCGGCTCTGGTCTCAGGAGACCCAGTGCCTAGCCTGTCTGGGATTGTCCTGCCGACTCTTCCCTCAGCCCTGCTTCTTGCCAGTGAATTCTTTGTCTTAAGTCAAAGTAGAGTTCACTCTATGGCAAAAGAACCCAAGAGACTAAGAAGGCCAGGGGCATTCAGCCCATGCAGGGGCCCCCGGAAAGGACAGTGCTATGGGCAGCTGGATGGCTATACAGGTAGCATTCATGCACACCTTGTGGCTCAGGGGCCCTGATGCTCCTGCTGCTTCAGCTGGTGTGCCTGCAACCGCCTCACACCTGTGTCTGCAACCGCCTCACACCTGTGCCTGCGCACATCACCTGGGCAGCAGGATGCTGAGGCTGCCTGCCTCCCTGTGTCTCCCAAACCCAAGATGATCTTACAGTTAAAGGAGAAATGCCACAGGGGAGGGCAGGTGTCACCTTGCTCGGGAGGGCACTGGGCAGTGTGTTCCAAAGCTCCATCTACAGCTTCAAGGCTTTCATAAATTCCCATTTAAATAACTCAAATAGGTGTTGGCACTGTGGCATCATTGCATAAACTAACGCCTGAGACACCGGCATTCCACATGAGTGCCAGGTCGAGAATCATCCAATCCACTTCTAATGCAGTTAGTTCCCTGTTAATTGTGGCTGGGAAAGCATCAGAGAATGGCCCAAGCATTTGGATCCCACACCCATGCGTAGACAGGGATGGAATTCCTGGCTCCTGGCTCTGGCCTGGTCCAGTTCCAACTTCATGGTCATTTGGGAAGTGAGCCAGTAGATGGAACATCTCTAACTCTGCCTTTTCAAATAAATAAAATAAATCTTCAAAAAGATGGATAAATAATATAAACGATGATACAATACACACTTGACAGATATATCCTTTGTAAATATTAAAACCCAAAAATGTGTGCTGGGTATCGTTTAAAACAGTTCAAGGCTGTGTGAGTGGGAAAGTGGACAGGCCATTGGCATGCAGAATCCTGTGCTGTGGAGTGAATTACTCTGCTTGTTTCCACAGCTCCTCTTTACTACTGCCCTAGGATGTTGCTTCCAATCAGGGCTTCTGCTTTGTCAGGGTAGAGGAGGGGTGGGTGGGTGGGAGGTGTGGGGCGTGGGCTGGCCACGGGGAAAGTGAGTGCTAGCTCTCTCTAAAGGCTTGTGGGAAAACAGGCTTTGCTTTCTTTCCCTCACAAGGGTATCTCACTTGGGAAGCCTGCAGTCTGGCCCATGCCAACGCATGTGCTGGCATCTGGCCCTGTGTGAGGGAGCAGCGGGGGCCGAGGGGGGGCCTTGCTCCTGAAGGTAGGGCCTCCTTGTTCAGGGAAGAGGCCATGCAGATTCTGTCCACACAGCTTGGCAGTGCTGTGTGCATTTCTCTGGTAGGACGCAGAGGCCACTACACCCCCTGCCTGCATGGTCCCCTGGCCTATGGGATGGCAGACCTCTGGGAACCTGCACTAGCTGCTTAGAATTGTGGGGACCAACCAGGATGCGAAACTGGAATCCCTCCTAGGGGTGGGGGCTGTCTGACCTGTGGGCTACAAAGGCCTCTGACCTCATCTTGTCTGGCCCTGCCAAGGCAACCACAGGTGGGACTCGGAATTCAATCAATCTACAGTGGGCTGGTTTTAAATGGACAATTATGTATGTCCCACGAGAAATGTTATAACTACACTTGGCAGAAAAAGGATTCCTCGCACCTGTTTTAGAGAGTGCAGGGCTGGCTGTGTTTAATGAACATTTCTTCCAGGGAAAGGAAGATAGCTGGAATAACCAGAAAGACAGGGACAGAGTGTCTGATGCCAGTGTCTGAAAGTGAGCTAGCACCTGGTGTACTGCAGGAGTGCGCAAGAGGCAGCGGCTGCTCGTGCTTCCCCTGCATACAGAGCCTTGTGGTCAGCTCTAGGAGTGCTCCCTGGGACCCCAGCCCACGCTGGGAAAGTCCCTAGAGACCGCACTGCTGAACTCCACTCTTCACCCTTGGGGGTAGCACCCAATGGCCCACGACCAACGGGCCTTCCAGGTGACAACTTTTGAGGTCCTTCTCGAAGACTGACTTTTGTAACCAAGGAAGTCTTCCCAGCAATCGCACTGCCTTTCCTTCTAAACAGTCCCACTGTTGTGATATGGCCTGGCCTGGGTGTGTCTAGTGGTGTTTTGGGGCAGAAAAGTTGAATAGGAAGATTTCTTCTGGGCTAGTCAGTTGCCAAATTTTCCTACTGTGAGTAAGAGTTAGAGAAATGCTGACTAGATGCTCCAGGAGCCAGGGTGAGCCAGCAGGCTTATTCAGGTTAAAGTTCAGCCTTTACTCCAGGGCGCGATTTGCACAACAAGCCCCTTCTTAGGAGTCTCTCCTACAGCACTAGTGGGGGCCCATGGGAGGAAACCACTTCACCCTTCCAGCACCATGCAGGAAGCTTCTCCCTATACTCTGTGTCCATGGCACCCCCAGACCTGCCTGCCAGGGAAGATGTGAGATGTCAGCTGGGAACTCTCAGCCCGGGTAGCATTCCAGACCAGTGGGTAGGAATCGGATAGTTTTATTGTACAGGCCTCCACTTAGCCAGCCGCAGAGCCATTGCAAAAGGTAGGCAGTGAGTGCAGAATTAAAAGAGCAAAAGGCTGCTGATAGCACACTTTGTTAGGCACGACAGGAAGGCTCATCTGTGATAATCAGACACTTTCTGTCTCACTGGCGCTCGTGTCTCGAGTGGTGTGAAAGAGGAAAAGCAGCCTGCGTAGGGACATGTTCCTGGGCTGCGTGGCCCCGATTTACCTGGTGCCAGGCTATCGCACTCCACCAGCACGTCGCTGGCCTGGGTTTTCAGGGGTGGCACGATGATGGTGCGGGGGTTGCCAGTGCAGTGGTTCTCCACGCTCCCCTTGCTTTCGAAGGCATTGGTGTTGCTGTGCCCGGCGCGTTGCTGAACAGAGTAGGGGCTGGTGTTGCTGGAGGAATCCGAGTACGGAGAGTCGTGGACCGTGACGCAGCTGATAACATTTTTCCTCTGCTTGGACACAGTGCTGGGAAGGAAAAGGCAGGGGCAGGAGTGAGAACTGAGAGAAGGTTGTGAAGAGAGGCGTGTGGCAGGAGGACACACTGTGCGTGCAGGCGCTCACTGCCTGTGCAGCTAGTAGTGGGGGCAGCTGTGGATGAAGATACGTGTGAGCCGCTGGTGCTGGGCCCACGGCTGCTTCTGGAAGCTGCAAAGGGGGTTTTTCTGGGAAGGTCTGGACCCTCCTGCCGAGTGTGGGAGCTCAGCAGAACTGCAAAGGTGCCACCTGGAGCCCAGAACTGTGTGCCCACCTCTTCTGGATCGCCCAAAACCTGTGGGGAGACCCAGCAAGAAGCAGGCCGGCTGAGAGCTCAGGGCAGGAGAACAGCACTGTGGAAAGAGAAATGAGATCCAACAATGCACAGCTCTGAGCAGGGAAGGTGACACCCCGGGAGCAGGACACAGCCAGCACGCAGCTGCTCAGCCAGGCATGGAATGAGACATTGAGATGCATCAGCTGCCCCCTGCCAGCTCTCTGCTCCTAGAGTGCTCTGTGGGATGACTGTGAAGGCCACCCAGGACCCCAGGAAGGCCCTTCTTAGGCTGGCCTTGCAGCTGTCACCCTACCCAGGCTGTGAGTCAGAGAAGAGCCAGCACTGCGCAGGGCCTGGTGGGAAGGCTCCTGCTGGGTGGGTCCTGAGAGGGAGTCATTCTAAATTCCCAGCCTTCAGCTGATATGTGCAACTTCATCCAGTGATAAAGGAGGAACTGGCTGGGGGTAGCTTTGGCCAGCATGTTTTTTGCACAGAGCTATTGTTAGTGTGGTCTGGGAATCAATCCTGTCTGCCCTCAAGTTTAGCAAGAGACAGGTAGGATGACAGATGTGACATTTACTGCTTATAGTGTAAGGTTTTAAAAATGGATGCTCTTCTATTTTTATATATTGATCATTTATTTTTAAGAAATCACAATTGCCTAAGTAAAGTGATCTGAGCTAATTTGGTAAGAGAAACAGCTGAGATATATGAGTTGGACAGAATCATAACACACTCTCAAGGGAACTTGACAAAGGTCAACAGCTAGGCCAGGCCAGGCTCTTTCCAAGGAATCTTGCCCATCCCAGGTACAGCAGATAAGTGGGCCAGCTCAAGGGCCCACAGCATCTGGGAAGGGGGCAAGTATAAGGACTGAGCAGGGCTGTTGACCTGCAAGAGGCTGGAAGTGTGGAGGAGACACCCAAGGGATGGACGGATCCTGTCCCCAGTACCAGACCTACTGATATCAGGGACAGACAGTTCTTTTCATGGCTGCACACTCAGTCTTCTCTGGTTCAAGGAGTCCCAACTGTGTCTGTGAGTAAGAACACAGCCCCAGTGCCAGATACTTGACTCCAGGACATCCAGCTGCATGCCTACTGTGTGCAGGTGACAGGACAGTGGGTGGGCTCAGCAGTAAAATGTGGGGAATGACAGTGAGTGCCTATATCATATAGGCTGCTTTTCAGAACCAAGCGAGAGAATAAAGTGAAGTGCTTTGGCTAGTGGGCGACATATGGTAAGTATCCTGTGAAAGCCAGCTGCCATTATCATCACAGCTTGAGTGTCACCAATCAGGAAATCCAAAATGTTCTACAACCTGATACTTTCTGAATACCCACATGACGCCTCAAGTGGCAAACTCCAAACCTGACCTCATGTGACAGATCACAATCAAAACATAAGTGCACTAAAAATACTGCCTGAAATAACCTTCAGGCTGTGCATATGAGGCACATATGAAATAAAGATGAACTTAGTGTTTAGACTTGGGTTCTAGCTCCAATAAATCTCATCACATAGATGCAGATGTGAAATACCAAGGTAGGCAAAGAGAATTCTATCAGGGTAGGGACTTGCTGGAAAAGCTGCTTCTTTTCTAGTCTATGAATAAACCAGAAGATTGATACAAGAGAAAATTAGGATCCATCAGTTAGATATCTTGGAGGTCTATGCTAGGTACTACAGGGAATACCTGTAGAAAGAAATAGAATACCTGTCTCTGCCCTCGAGAAGATTAAAATCTCAGTGGGAGACTGTATAAAAACATGACAAGTTCAACAGTAGAAGCTTTAAAATAGCAGTTAAAGAGAATAATGGATGTCACAAAGCCCTCCATGATTAACTGTCAAATGAGTTGTAACAGATGATAATTGTTAAGAACTCAAAAGAAAGTGAGAAGCGAATTGGGTGCATACATTTATGGCTCTTCTCATTAACTTAAGATAAAATAAATTTTAATTAATAAAGACTAATGCTGCCCACAGATAACCCTTTAAATGAAAAAGTACAAGTATAAGCCTTATTAGCATGTGAAAACAGGTTTGCAGATGAGGTTAAGCTAAATGCAAAGTTACCGTGTGATCCGTAACTCCAGTCCTAGGAATGTATCCAGAGGGATTCAGAGCAGAGACTGGAATGTCAACACGCCAGTGTTCATTGCAGCACAGTCACAACAGCCAAGCAGTGGAGACAACCCAAGGGTCCACCAAACACACAGATAACAAGCAAAACCGGCACATCTGTACAATAGGACACGATTTGGTAATAGAAACAAATGATTTCTGATACTTGATGCAATATGGGCCAACCGTGAGAACATTAAGAGAAACAAAAAGACAAACATTGTGTGATCCCAAGTAGGTAAATTCACACACATAAGAAATAGATGAGAGGTTACCAGAGATGGGGAAGTCACCACTTAACAGGTATAGCATTTTGGGGCTGTGATGACAGGAAGGTTTCTGAGACAGATAATGGTGATGTATACAATCAGTGCCAATTTGCATCACTAGGGTTATATACCTAAAAACTGTTCAAATGTCAAATCTTCTGTATGTTATATATTATGCAAAAACCTGAATTGTATAGGGTGTGCACTACATCTCAAATAAATAAAAGTCCATAGGCGCATTCAGAACAAAAAAGCAAACAGAGTCTTGGGCAGTACAGATACCCAGCACAAGGGCAGGACAGACACTGAGGTTTGTCAAAAGAAATATAAAGTAAGATGCTAGGAAAAGGTCCCTGGGCTAAGAAAATAGGGACAAGGAAACATAGAACAGTAAGTTATTTTGGAAAGCTGAGGTAAGAGGGAGTAAGGGGTGGGGAGGGGTGAGGAAGGAGGGGAAGTAAGGTAGGGAGAGAGGCCGGACTGTTCGAAGAAGACAATGATTTGGTGGGCATTTGGTGCAGTGGTCTAAACTACTGCTTGGGATGCCCATATCCCATATTGCAGTGTTTGGGTTTGAGTCCGAGCTCTGCTCTTCATAGCAGCTTCCCACTAATGTTCACCCTGGGAGGTAGCAGGTGATGGCTCAAGTAGTTGGGTTCTTGCCACCCAATGTGGAAGATTCAGACTGAGTTTTCAACTCCTGGCTGTGGTCTGGCCTTGCCTGGCCTTGGCTGTTGCAAGCATCAGAGGAATGAATCAGCAAACAGATCTCTTTCCATCTCTCTACCTTTAAAAAAAGCAAGTAAATGGATGTAAAAATAATATGATAAAGATGAATGAAGTGTGAGCTGTCTGTGAGTGGGGTGGGAATGGTCTATTGTATAACATAAAAACCCCTCACCTCCACTCCACCTCTGGCACTGGTAAAAAGTGCTCCCAGGGTCAAGGGAAGAACTAGGAGGCTGCTACTGAACACAGAGAATCATGCTGCCTTGCCCTGCACTCATGAATTTGGTCATGGCACTTTGGAGTAAAGCACACACACAGCGGTGCTTCTCGTCATCACACAAGACGTGGGCATGTTGTATGGCAAACAAAGTTCCGGGAGTGGGAGACTCACTGATGACAGGCTGGCTCACAAGTGCATCCTGGGACAGTCCAGGCCTGGCTCTGCTGCCCTTACCTGACCTGAAGTCTATTAAGGACAGAGGAAGACATTACTCCCATCATCCAAAAGTCCACTATTAGCACCCCTTGAGGATTTATTATTGCAGGTACATCAAATAGGGTGGCTCTAGCAAGCCACAGGCCTTCCCGCCACAAGGTGGTCTACGTTGTGGTGTCTTCCTGCCTACTGACGACTGTGGGATATAACTTCCATAACCTCTTGCTTACAGCTAGGAAACCCCGGTGCCTAAGGAACAATCACAGACAACAGGGTTTAATGCTTATTTACTTGCCTTTTCAGATTTACAAGTGACAGGCTTAGAAAAGGGTGAATTAATATGAAGGCTGTTTTCAATCTTTTCTATTGTTAGAAATCTCTGCTTTCCCCAGATACACTATGCAGATCAGAGAACAAATGAGAAGCTGCTGAGCTCACATTTGAGATCACTACTGGGGATTCTTTAGGCTCATGTTTCTGTGGCTGTACTACTGGGATTCATCCCACTGCTATGTCTAATTATTAGTTATAGCTTATCAATTCCATTAAGGGGTGGCTACTGGAAGTGAGATAATGATGAGAGTAGGATGAGAAATATGTGCTTTAATGGCCTTGACAGAACATCATTTCTGAACAAGGAACAAAGCTCTGTGAGCTCACAATTGCATTGTGTTGTCATGGCAATAGATGATTTTCATCATTCGAAAATGATGAAAAGAAATGAGGAGCTAACAAGTAAGGAAATCACTTGTAGTGGAAGAAAACATTATCTGAGGCTCAGACACAGAACTGTGACCCTGGCCAGCGGGGTCCCAGCTGGACTGGACTTCTGATTTCTGTTTGCTAATCTCAAGTCAATTTCATCCTTTAAGACCAGGATCAACACTCATCTCCAATAAACTTCCCATGATTTCTTCCACTGCTTGGATTTCATAGCCATAGCTGCATGCCAAAAAAAAAATCATCTTCTTTCAGTTATTGTGACACTTATTACTAAATGCTAATTGGATGTATAGTAGTATCTGAAGTGCTTGTATTGTTTCATCCTCACGGAAGGCTTTGGGCACTTCCTTGCTTGAGATCTCAGAGCAGATGGGGCAGACAGGGTTAAACTCCCCACCTGTGCTCTTTCTCTCTTTTTTTGAAAAAAAAATTTTTTTAAGTTCATTTATTTGAAGAGGCAGAATGACAGATGGGCAGTGAAGGGGGACAGAGAGAGGCCTTCCATTTGCTGATTCACTCTCTAAATCCCAGGAGCCTAGAACTGCATCCAGGTCTCTTACATGGAGAAGCGGGAACCCAAGTCCTTGGGCAACTGCTTTCTTCCCAGGTGCATGAGCAGGAAGTTCACCGGCTATTTTTTTTTTTTTGCCAGTAATTAGGTTTATCATTTTGTTAACGGCACAGCATCTGAATCTCAATTCTGCTACTTAGAACCTTTATCAGGGACATTTTTCTGGGCCTTAATTTGCTCATCTATCTGGTGGGAACAGGAACGTCAGCTCTGCACTTGCTGTTGAGTGTTGAGTGCGACAGTGTGGGTGAAAGCCCTTGGTGACCAGTCACTCTGACTCCCAGCCCGCCTCCTACATGCCCTGCAGCTCTCATCAGTGGCAGCTGCTGACCTTGTGTCTGCCCTGGCAACCAACAGTGTCACACATGTGTAGTCAGGAATGATTTTGCCTGGGCATTAAATATACAAAAATCTAGGTCGTGATCTCTGGTGCAATTAGGTCTAAAAAGTTGGCTTTGCCATTATTTGTTTCACTTTGGTTCCAAAAGACAAGTTGGTGGTAGAGGTGCTGCCACCTCTGGGGAGAAGCATCAGTTTGGACCCTCCAGGTGCTGTGTTGAGGTGAGGTTGAGCCACACTAGAAGTCAGAAGAATTGCAGGCAAAATTATAGGGCCAGCCAGAAAACTAGAAATCCAGAATAGCCATGGGGAGCAAATCAGAAATGAAGCCAGGGAGGTCAACACGAAGACATCCATGGGTGGGAGAATTTGGGATTAGGAAGCTGTGGGATGTGGTCAGGGAAGCAAGGGCTCCACTGGCCACGCAGGAGCACGGGAGGGCTGAAGTCGCCCTGCAGCTGGACAGCAGCCAGGTGGCACTAGGGCTGCAGCCTGGCCACTCCGGGCCTGAGGCTTTCCTTTGAGTATGTCAGCAACTCCTGACAAAGCCCACCGTGTCTGTCTAAGGGCGATGCTCCAGCAACCTCCCCTTCATCCTGAAGCCCCTTCCCTCCATGTCTTCTGCTGTCTCCCCGAGACATTTCCTCTTTGAATTCTTGCTCTCATCCGCCCACTGCTGAGGCTCTAGCCAACCACCCCCTGGGCTTGAGTTTGCAATCCTTTCTCCTCACTGTAGATCCACACCCATCCAGACCCTTGGCTTTAAAAAAAGATGCTTCCTCATTGCTGTTTCCTCAAGCTACATTCCTGTTGGGTCCCTATGGAGCTTTGCTGGCTTTTATGGAACTGACAATTCTGTTTTGTGTTATAATGACCTGTATGTATCATCTCTTGCTTACTGCACAGTGAGCCTCATGGGGACAGACTGCCTTATTTATGTAGGAGCCACAGCACCCACTGTAATATTGCACACCAGTGCAGCTGCTGCCTGTTTACAGTGTTATGTCTTTGATTTCTGCAAACTGCTCATCACACGGGCCATACCCCTCCCCCACCCTCAGCTTTCATTTCTTATTCCCGAATGTCATCATAATAATGGGACTGCAATCACACAGTGGCCCCTTTATAAATAAAAACAGCCACTGGCTTCTCAAATACACTCTCTTACTTTCTCAGGTCCTTAAACATTTTCTAAGGAAACAGCCATTTTTTCCCCCTCTGCAGAAAATGCTATTATCACTGTTTCTTATGCCTTTGTGACCATTTTCTGATCTTAGCTGGCAGCTCCTCCTCTCTACAAGCTGTCTTGGTTCTGTCTTTGCTGTCCTGGCCAGTGCCTTTCACTTGCCACTTGGTGACGCCACAGCATTGGGCAGTCCACAGCCTGGCTGTAGTTGTCTGTCAACTGTACTTGCCCTCGGCTGCTGCCCTTGCCTCCCCAGGGACCCTGCAAGTCACTCGCATCAAAGGCTTCACACTTTGCCAAGCACCACAGTTCTGCCTCTTCCTGGGGCCTCTGGGACTACTGCGGAAGCAGGTGCGTGCTCTGGCTCGACTTTTTGCTCTCAGCACTGTCAGTTGTCTGGCTGGAGAGATGGCTCTTTCATCCTCCTTTCCCCAGACGCACCACTCAGTTCTCTCTGGAGCACACACAGAGAGGCGATGTCAACTCAGATCTTATACTTCAAAAATGATGTCCCAATCTAGTTGATTGTCAGACATTTAAATGGTGTTTGCTTTTTTCCATTGGTGGCAAAGTAGTGCAAGGTTGTTTGCCCCTCTGATGACCAGTGCTATAAATCTGTGGACAGACTGTTTTAGACCAGGGTCCTGTCTGTGTGAAAGGACTGCTGAGCCCACGGGGGCATTGAGTTTGTGTTCCTGGGTGGGGAGAGAGGTGGAGTACTGGGAGGTGGTGGATGAAACAGTTTTTAAAAGACACACACACACACACATAGACAGATCTTTCATTTGCTGGTTCCTTTTCTATATGGTTGCAATGGCCAGAGCTGGGTCAAGCTGAAACCAGGAGCCAGGAGCCTTATCTAGGTCTCCCAACAAGTGGCTCCTGCAATTGAGTCATCTGCTACTGCTTTCCCAAGTGCATTAGCTGGGAGCTGGTTTGCAAGTGGAGCAGCTGGAACAGGAGTTGGTGCTCTGATATGGGATGCCTGGCATCACAGATGGCAGCTAACTCCACTGTGTCACAACTATGGCACGAAAGACTGAACACTGATTCAACCTGGGGTTGGGATAAAAAAGGTAACTGGGGCCCATCCTTGGAAGA